CGTATCTGACAGGAGTGTCCTGGGGAGATGTCTCAGCATTGATTCTTCTCAGATAGCTTTTGAGTTTCACACTACTTGCCTCAGGAAAGATTTAACTTTACTTTCAGTTAGTCTGTCAGAACCCTCATAAAGCATCCGTGGCCCTGTAACACTGTAAGTAATATTCCACTTAGGATTAAAGTATTGGTGTGGAATATATGGACGAATTAAAGCAGTGATACGTTGAAATCATCAATCCCCAAACTGGAATTACATATAAATATATATTATGTACTGGTGACATGAATTTGATGTTCCTGTTCTCCCCTTCAACTATAAAATATATGGAGGGGTGTGGTGGGGGAAGGCCTTCTTTGATCTCCTGTATGAAAGCTAGTGTCTGAGCACAGAATCAGAATACCCGAACTCACAGAGCTGTTAGCAGTGCATAACTTTCCTCTACAAAAATTTTGCTTTTCTTATCCAGCCCTAGAATTGAACAGAACTGATGTCTCAGTGGTAATGTTTCAGCAGATACTTAAACTCTTATGTCATTGTTTCATTTATGTAAGCTTTTCTTCTGCATTTAACCTGTTTTGTTGCTAATACAAAGCTTCTGTCTCTACCAGGAAAATCTGAAGTAAAGGAAAGGCTGAATAACTAGGTCTGACAACATCTGAGTATTAGATATCCATCTTGAAAGTATTAAAAATACTCGGGTATGACCAGGCATGTTGATACTCATTTCTCAGCAACTGCTGAAAGATTTAACAAATCTACTAACACAGCATAGCTCAGTTTTGGAGTAAGGCATAGCAGTAGACTTGTATGTTTGCATTCCTTTGACCTGATGTCTTTGTTAATTACTGCTCAAGTAATTTAGTTGTTTTGTTCATAGCATTGTTTTTTTAATCTTGCAAAAAGAAACAACAAAAGAAAGCTTTACAAAAATATGACCAAAATGAACACCATCTTGTACTAGCAGCTTTAAAAGTAATTTGACTTTTCCACTGGAGGAAAAGCATGTTCTTACACATGTAATCAATGTGATTACTATAGATGAGTCTAAGAGAAATGAATTTGTAACAAAAGCAAGCAAAAATTAACAAATGACATCAAACATCTGATGAAAAAATCCCTCAAACTGATAATCTACACTCTAAATTAACCATGCATATACTTCTTTGAACTAGCATACATACACTGGACTGTCCAACGGAGTCTCACATGCTGCAGGCTAGCAATGTGTTCTGCTGCTGGCAAGAATGCTGATGTTGATACCTGTAACAGAGATGTGGCCCATCAGCATACACTGAAACTTTCACCAACGCATTTCAGCCTAGATCTGAAATACTGTGTGCCAGCAGGCTTTATAGCTCACAGTTCCGTTACCAACACTGCTCAACCAACTCAAAAATCCTTCACCGTTGTTATAATTTCAGAAATAGAATAATGAAAATTTAAAATTATGGCGTAAGCACATCTGTCATATCCTTCTAAGCACAATTTGCTATGTATTACACTGATACACCAAGTATCAAAGGGTGGCTAAAACAGGTATGCTTGCCAAGGCTAATATATGCCTTTGATCACATATCTCTGCTCATCTGAATGTTTAAGATGAACTTGAAAAACAGTGGATAACGATTTATGCTAAAAGCAAATACTTAAAAAATAAATTCAGTAAATGAAGGATCTAACTTCTCTTAGTATATGAACATGTGTGTATGAACTGAAATAGACTTCTGTCTTCCTGCTAAGCAGAAATACATCAAACCCTTGAATGAAGCCAGGTATTTATAACTTACTGTCTATATTATAATTAATTTGGCTTTATCTGGGAATAACAGTACTGGAGAGAAGCTTGCAAGCTGTCAAATAGGTTGGCTAGACTGCTTTTGATTCGTGTCTCTTAAAATCCACCTTTGATAAATGCTGTGTGATGTCGAAAAGAACGTAAGCCAGTGTTTCTGTGTACAACAGAACCGTATGTCTACAAGAATAGGATCCTCTTCAAATTGATTTAAAAAAAAAAAGTTTTCTGAAGAATCACAACATATACAATCTGCGAGAAGGGAAACTTAAAACTTTTAGTTCTGTTGCCTGTCATCCCTCAGTATGTTTGAACATGTGTACACAAACTCAGAAATAATCACATGCACATGTGAACGTGCATACATCTTCCTTTTCTTATTCTGCTGCTACTGATTCAATACCCATCACTCTTCACATGAAGCTGAAATTGTTGTCACCTTGTGTGCATCACTACAATGGCCAGTTTCTAGACAAACTAAGTACAAAATGCAGCTCAGATACTGCACACAACAAATTGTCCATATGCAGGAAAAATAATGCACAGCTTGAGGTCATTCCAAGTCAGATACCAGACTATTTATGCAGCTCTGTGTCAGGTATTTGAAACATAATAATAAAAAAATCTTCCAGAAATTTGTCAGGAAGGAGCTATTTACTTATGGTTATTTTTAAACTGTAGTACCTAGCTGTGAGCAGATCTTGTTGTTGTTAGGCTCCTTCTGAAAGTCAAAATACACCCAATAAACCAGCTTGGTTAGGTTTCTAAAATAGAATACATGTATATGTCAAACTACTGTGTTTGTTGTCCAAGAAGTAACAAGGATTATCCAGGTAGCAAAACAAATGAAGGCCTTGATTTGTATTTATTATTTTTTTTTAATTATTTTTCCACTGTGCAGATGGCACAGATCACTTCAGCATCCCCACTCTGTTATTTTCTTGCTTTGATATTCTCAGTATACAGTGGTATTCTGATTGACATTTGCCTCGTGTTCTTCTTTCAAGCCTTGTAAGTTTGTTTCTGACCAAAGGTACATCAGTCAGTCCGTAGGTTGAGAATCTGCTCTCTCCAATCTATTTCTATCTGGAGATGGAGACAGCTACAGTGCTGATTACTTAATAAAATATAGCTGCGTCACATACAACTTGGCAGAGGTCACTTTTAATCCAAATGGCTCTGCTGCTGAGGGGGTTGGGTTGTTGGTTTGTTTATTTTTGTGTCAGGCTACCCCGTTGTAAATAAAGGGGCAGCCAAGGTGTGTATAACACCAAGCGAGCCAGTGGACTCTGGCTGAGTTGCACAGCAGGGATGATGCTTTGTAACCAGCACATTTGTTTAAATTCTCAAGTTCCAAAGTTCTGACCAGCATTCTCATATGTCACTGCTCCATTTCACGTTAGAAGATAAGTCTTGGTAATAGGTACTGCAGATGACTAGCTAAAAATTCAAGAAAGCAACTTAATACCTCCTGTCTGGAGAGGAGTCTGAGAGAACTGGATGGGGCAGTGCAGGATCTCCGAATTTTCCTAGAAGCAAGTTGCATTGCGTTGAAATTGGAGCTGAAATTTTCTGCTGCACTACATATAATAAGCCTGAGATACTGGATATCTATAATACCACAAATTGCAGAGAGAACATATGGAGGATTGAAAACTGGTAGGCAGCTTGTTGAAAATCTTAAAAATATACTTTGTGTAAGACTATCAGTGATGGTTTTTTTCAGTAAAAGATCATTGCTTACTGTTTATAGAGCTGCACTCTCAGAATAAATAACTTATTTCAGTAATGTTTAATGAAAAACTCAATTTTACTTTGAAGTGTTTCCACATAAATTTGCATTTAAAACCTACCTCAATTGACATTTCTGTCAAATATTTTTATTGTTATGTTTATATAAGGGCAACATAAGAATCATAGGCATACGTGTACCTAATAGGTGGAGTAAAGTATTAGAGATGAATTGATTCTGCAACGCATACTGAACTGTTGTGCAAAATTTCTTGTGTTAACTCTCAAGTATTTAGGTTAGCTTGACCCTGGAAACAAATAACATGAATTTAAATACAGATATTAATATACAAGCTTTGTATTGGACAGTCCATTCTGGATACCAAACTAAATGATGATCTAAAAGATCTAATGCAAACCTTCAGGCGTTAGAACCTGCAGGCACACAGCTCTACACAACCCCATCTCAGTCTGAGCAACTTCCACTGAGTTCTTGGAGAGCACAGGTTGCTCCAGAATCCATGCTTTCCAGGGAAATAGTGAGATCATTGCACACTTTAATCTATGGTGGTAAAGACTGAACCTTCTGGGAGGAGGTGTCCTAACTTAACAACATAGGAAAAGACAAGCTTCCAAGGCTTTGCTTCAGTATGTGGTTGAAAAGATGCTGACTGGAGAGGTGGAAAGGTATGTGTCTGAACAGTGACAGTATGCAATGTTGTCAGACCAACAGCATCCGTATTTAGTTGGATACAGATAAAATAAAAAGAGTCTGTTCTGAATAAAATAACAAAAATAACTCATAGGAACAGACTGTTAATTTCCTTTCCAGCAAGACAAGAATACTCCTTTGTGAACTTCGATTTAAGATGTTCTATTGTTATAAAAACACAAGCAATTTAAGTTCTACAATTCAGGAATAAAAAGCAGACAAACAAAAATGACACAAAAACCCAACCAATTATAAATGACATTAACTATCTGAAACTCAGCTTGAGATCTTCCCTATCTGAGGTGGTTTGATTTGTGACGCTGATTTTTTCTTTTTGAAAGTTTAAAATGTTACGATTTAAGCTTCTCATGTCATGTTTTTATTCATTTTACATTATTTTAAGGTACTTTCAGGTTCTCCTTTTACCAATATCTGCACTGCTGCCTACAACGTCACACCGACACGCTTAGCTCTTGAGCAATCCAAATATTCACTGTACACACAGCTGTGAATTTACCTGTTTCTCCTGGGCCAACAGTTTGGCTATGAATCCTGTTAAAGTCATGTAAACTGTGTGTGCACCAGATGACTCTTTTGGTTTAAACGTGACACATACGGGGAAGGCTACTCCATGAGAATTTGAAAGGTGTGATTTATGTTCATAAATCACGCACTGAATTGTGGTTTTTTGAGGACATGGAGATTTCTGTTCCAGCCTTCTAGGGTTCCTCATAGCAGATTGAAATGGGGATGGCAATTACACACCTCTCCCTGGAGGGCATCAGTAGCTGCAGCCTTTGTATGTTGTTTTCTTCTTACTTGGTGTTTAGGAGAGGCTGCCCAGCACTGCTGCTTTTCCTTTGTCCTTGCTGCTGATGTGACTTCAGCTGAGCTGCAGCCTCGGATTATGCAGCACAAGCCTCCCTCTGCAGAGAAGCGCCAAATAAGGCCGAGAGAGCTTCACTGGAGGCTCTCTTTGGAGAAATGCTGGTTTGAATGTCAATTAATCTAACGACTGAAAACGTGCATGTTCTTAAAAAAAAAAAATAAAAAAAGCAATAGGAGAAAGGTTTTATATTGCAGTGGCTATCCTTCCGCGTTTTTATCACGATAAATTGATTGCCATTTAACGTAGGCACTCGATGCCTTCAGTGCCAGGAGCAAGCGAGGCTCAGCCCGCGTCCTAAGGCTCCTCCTCGCCCGCTGAGGGGAAAGCCGCCCGCCCGGGCCGTGTTTTCCCGATACCTTTCCGGCGGTGATACCCCACCCCTGGCGGCACGCACCGCCCCTGGGGCCGCCGCCAGCTCCCCGCAGCGCGGGGCTCACTGCTCCCGGTAAGACTTACGGGCAGGTGCGGGCCGGGGGGCCGCGCTGGGCCCAACGTTTGAGAAGGCGCTCGCCTTAAGGAGCCGCCACAGGCGCAGCCCGCCGTGCCCGCGCGGCTCCGAGGGGCCACACCGCACCTCCTCGGCCGCTACCGCTCCCAAATGGCGGCGCCTGGAGGGGGCGGGGGAGCGGGGAGGAGCGCTCCATCGGCAGCTCGGTGCTCGGCCGCCCGGGAGGAGGGCGGTGCGAGGAGGAAGGAGCCAGGCGCGGGGAAGGAGCCGAGCGCCGGCGGGTCGATGGGCGGCGGATAAATGTCTCGCTGGGTGCGGGGCCGCCATTTTAGATGAGGAACGAAACGAACGGCGCCGAGGGGAGATGAGCCCGGAGGCGGCGGCCGGGAGGGAGTGACATAGGTAGGGCGGTGCGGGGCTGCGAGCGGAGATGAGGGGCTCGCTTCGCTCCGTTCTGCCCTTTCTCCCGGCTCTTCCTCGGTGCCGCCGCCGCCGCCTGGAGCGGAGCCCCGGGCACGGCGCCGCGGGGAGAGGCGGCCGCTCGGCGCTGACAGGGCCCGGGGATGGCGGGGCCTCGGCCGTAGCTGTATGGCGGGGACGGGGGGGGGGCTCAGCCCCGAGAGCTGCGGCTGAGCCCGGGCCCGGCGGCGGGGAAGGTGCCAAAAGGGACGGGGGAAGGGAAGAGAGGCGGCAGCGGGGCGCGGGGGGTCCCTCGGCCGCCGGGCGGGCCGGGCGCGGTGCGGCCTCTGCCTGTCAGCGCCCGGCTGCGGGGAGCGGCCGGCCCGGCACTGCGTGTCTTCCGGCGCGGGGCTGAGGACTGGGGGCTGCCCGGCGGCTTCGAGCCGTAAGGGCGCCTCCTCGGCTCTCCGCGCCCGGCACCGCTGGCTGCAGTTCGGTGTCCGCGCGCTACTTCCTGCGGGGCTGCGGCCGCTCTGGGCCGGGATCCGCCGTTGGCCGAATGGAAAATGGGACTGTATCGCGGTAGCATGACTGAGAGCGGCGTGAGCCGCTCGCTTGCGTTCGTTCGGATTCAGTTTAAAAAGAAGTACGTAAAAACCGGAGTGTAGTTGTTTAGGTTCCCGGCTCCATCGCACTGCCCCGCTGTTGCCATGCAGATGTGGTGCTGCTCTGTTCCCGGACTCTTTTATCTACGGTTCAAATGTGCACAGAAATAACCTCGCCGACAGCAGCGCTCCTCCTGTCCCCTGCGCGCCCTGCCCGTGTCAGGTACAGCAACCTGCGTGGGTTTTCCCTCCTAGCCTCTTGGGCACATCCGCGGGTGCAGGGACCTCACCTGGGGCTGTGAGGCCTCGGGCGCTATGGTGGAATTGCTGCGGCACGACCTGTATCCATCTGGGTGCTGCTGCGGGGTGCTGCAGGCACGCAGACCGGGAAAGGACTATGGTGCAATAAGCCTTAAACTTCAGTCAAAATACTTGGAAGTAATTGTGTACAGGAGACCTTTAGAGCTTTTAAAATCTGTCTACCTATTTATTAAAGCTTCTGAAAGACCCCGATCCAAGTGCTGCCTAAGATTTCTTTGTTGGGTAATATCAGGTCATAACTGGAATGGATGTTCCTATCCTTTAGCGCTTGTCTGCAGTGTAGGTGCAAAAGAAAAGATTGCAGTGATGAATAGGAGGGTTAAGTTCCAAGCAGTTTGGTTAAATCTGTTCTAGGGACGTTCATTAAGAATGGAAGCGACTTTCATTAATTTGCCTTAAGAATATTTTCTGTGGGCAAGCCCTAAGGCTACAGTTAATCATAAAAATAAGTGTGGATCTGTATTTTATGCTTATGTAGTGGATGACTGATGAATACGGTAAGCAGTTCAATCTTAGATCATTAAATCAGCAGTGGACTGGCTTATTTGGGCCAGAGCAGCAGTGCTTCCAGAAATCTGGAATGTGTTTTCATGTGGTTTGTTGCCATGCTTAATATCTTCAGGACTGGACAATGTATTGTGCAACACTGCTGACAGACCTGTTCTGAAAAAAAAGCTGGAAGTGACAGGGAAAGTCTCTCTTTTTCCGAAGAAGATATAAAACTATTGTTGTCTGTTTAATGCTTTTGCTGTGCATGTAAAAACTATCTTTTTTTTTTTTTTTTTTTAAGCAGCAATAAGGTCTGTTTGACTAACTTAAGGATTTGACTGCTGTCTCAGGGCCTGAACTTACTATGGCTTATTAAAATAACTCCTATTTTATAAACCACAGACATGACCTACGGGAATGGTTGGTCAGCACTTCTTGGTGTGCTCGATCAGCACTGGTTTCTGCTGGGACATACATGCCCCTCACTTTAGTTATTTGTCACATTTGCTTTTGAGAAACCGGGAGGTGAGGAAAAAAACAAGTTTTCCCAGTTTTCTGCCTTTGGAAACAAGTTAAGGTGATATGGTAAGCTGTTAGTTCTACAGCTGTTGCAGGAGGTGGAAACCAGAAGCTGTTATGTGAAATTGCTGTGACTAAAGAAGTCCTTAAGCAGTGAGTTTCAGATGGAGGAGTTGTGCTAATAAATTCATTTTTGTGTTACATACGCGGAATGTTTAAATGACTTAAGCAAATGAGCTAAATTAAATATTTGCGTTTAATAGGCTGTTATTTGTGTTTGGGTCTGTGTTACCTCTGCGCTCTGCCAGCGCTCCCTTCCATGATACCTTCAGTCATTCCCTTCACCACTGCTTTGCAGTACACCTGGCATCCCCTTTTCGATACTGGCATGCTGGAACCTCTCCAGGCGTGTTCTCTTCAGCTCCTTTGTGTCTCGCCTCCCTCCTGGCTGCCAGCAGCTTCCCTGGTTGGGTTCTGCCATGTGGGACGTGCTGCACCTGGCACCTGGGGCTGGGGCTGCAGTGCTGGTGGGGTAAGTAGGAGGTTCCTCTGCAGCCTGGCCTCCTATTTCCATAGCCTGTGGGAGCTCTGTATTCCTGATGCCTCTACCTGCCTGCTTTGCTGAAATAAGCAAAGAAGCCCAAGAGCATTTGGAAGCGAGGAGGAAGGACAGTGGATGGCATAGTAACATAAAGCTAGTTGCTGAGGAAACAGGAGTGAAAATGTGCGTGCAGGTTGATTTCCAAAACTTGCATGTAAATGAAGCTTGAAAAAGATGAATAATTGGAAAGGGCGATTGGTTCTTAAGGAGTAAGTTCATGGACTGTATTCCAACCTAAAAATGCAGAAATCTAAGGAATGTGTAATGAGAAATAGAGCTTCAGTTTCTCCTAAAATACCAAACTGCATAAATCCAAGTTATCTTTCTTTGAGGAAGTAACAGAAATACGTAAAGCAAGATTAAAACTTGTGATTTAATCAGTGTTTTAAGCATGACTTCAGTAAGCGTAAGATAAATACATTTGTAAATGAGCGGCTGGCTTACATCAACATTGTACCAATTTGGTACGTAATTGCTTACACAAAAACCTTTGGTTGTTTTCTGATCTGAAATCTAATCGTTGAAAGCAGCTTCTAAATTAGAAATTAGTTTTAAGAAGAGTTGATACAACACTCAGAAATTGTGTCCAAATGCTGCTGCTACCTTTGTGGCAAATTAACAGCTTTTTTCTTTCTTTTTTTAATGATGAATATGCACTTGCTTTGTCTCACTGGCTTTGAGACAGCATGAAGCTCACCTCAATTTGCATGGCTTTCTGTGCTGGCAATCCAGATGTGTGTTTGGTGTTGTTCGTTGCCTTTCTGAAAAGAAAGTCTGTTTGGGCCAAACTTATGTGAATAATTCCCAGTGCTCTGTTGGCTCGTGCTGCATACACTATTTTTCTGTAAACAACAATTTTGCTTTGAAAAGCAGCTGGCATGCGCGTATTCCTTTGGTGACTTGGATATTGCGTTTGTACTAGAAATACCATCTATTTCACACAGGGCTGATTTTATCGCAGCACTGAGTGCTGACCTTTTGCAGTTTAATAGACTATGGTCATCTTGTGTACTGAGATGCTGCAGTGATGTAGTAGATGGGGATAAACAAAACCCTTCTCAAGTTGTTTGTAAACGAGTAAAGCGCTTTCTTGCTAGCCTCGCAGCTAAGAGTTGTAAGTGACAGTAAACAGTGTTTGCAGGAGTGAGCATTTTTTTAGAGGCTTTTAACGGACACAGTGGGATGCAATTATTTGTTTCCCAAAGGTTTTTGCCTGCTGGTGGGGAATGCCAAGAATTAGAGCTAACGCTGTTGTGTAGCCATGGGTTCACATGGAACAGTGCAGCAGTGAATCCTGCTCAGTTGTTTGTTTGCAGCTGCAGGTGTGTCTGCGTTCTGCGCATCCTGCTCTCCGCGCTACGTGCAGCACAGCTCTCGCGTGGTTAAACCAAAGCCAGTTGGTTTTAACTTCAGGCAAAAGAGTTTTGGAATTGCCTCACAGCCATCTTTGTGTGTGATGAGTGTGTGTCTCTGCTTTGTTTTCTTTGCAGTTCACCGAAAACCCTGCAGATGGGACCTGTATTTCCAGGTTTACTGATAGAACGCTGTTTTATTGTTCCTGGTTGCTCGCTGCGCTGTGGCTCTTTGCAGATGTTGCACCGATTGCTGTAGCGCTGCCTGTTTTCTCTTACCTCTGCAGAACGTTGCTGCATTTTGGATTCAGCTTGTGCTGCTGACGCTAAAATATTCATTTCTGACAAACAGCTGCCAAAAAGGTGTTAATTAATATTGCCTTCCAGCCGAAATATGTAGTATCGGTTAGGAGCAGTGGGACTGCGTATTTTTAGCTCGTGAGCTGGAGGGAGGTGGCCTCACTAACTTGGAGCAGGGTGTGGCGTGGGGTTAACCATGTTAATTAAAGCTGGCTCAGAGGTTTAGACTTTAAAAAATGGCTCAGAGCCCCCAGCAGGGCGCTTTGTTACATAATTTCTTTCACAAGAGAACAAGCTGGAGTTCTGAAAATGGGTGTTTTGGCAGCACCAGGCTGGGGAGGCACCAGTGAGCTGCAAGATAGTGCTGTGCTGCAGGAAAGGTGTCTTTGGTGGTACCTTTGCAGGGCTAACATTTAAGTATTTATTGAGAAACTTCAACATATGACTAATCTGCCGTTTTATTTTCCTGTAGTGTTTTGTTTTGGTTGTCATTTGCTCCAGTTCACGTCTCTGTTGACTCCATCAGTAATTCAAACTTCTTTGTGTGTATTCTACTTTCTTGTTCTGTTCTCGATCATTTCACCATGTTTGCTTAGTCTGCTCGTGCTCTTGAGTATTTTCTGGAGTGATCTTCCTGTCTGTGAGAATACCTCTAAAGGCACTGCTCTTTTCACTTTCTGCACTCTCTTCCTACCTGTGGAAAAAATTAAGTATCTTCTGCCCCGCTCCCCCCCCGAACACCACTTGCTTGTTGGACAAACACGTAAATTACCATCCTTTGTGTGTTAGTCCACAATTTTCCCTGTTTAGAATAAATAAAGTGTGATATTTGACATGAGAACTTCTTGGTGAATCTGAACGAAGCACAGTGTAACAGGTGGGGGTGCAGATCCTCCCACCCAGTTGCATGGCATGCTTGGGGAAGTGAGGTTTGCAGGCACACAGTGATGGTCCTGCAGAGCAGAGCAGCACGTGGAGGGAGTACAGTTAGATGGGAAGCTTCAATGGTAGCAGTGCTGCTGGAAGGAAGAAAAGACTAGATATTGTTTTAATGATTAAAAAAAAAAAAACAAGTTCCTAACTCACTGCTACCAAAACTGCAACCAGAATTGCTAGTTTTGTAAATATACTGAAAAATAAAAAGCTTAATGTGAAGCTGAAAGAACCAGTGATAACCTCTGAACCAGCTTCCAGCTGAAGGAGGTGCATTTTGAGTCACAGTAGAACTTAATATTTTTTCAAGATTTGTTTTAGAAACTTTAAGCTGCTCTAAAGTTGATCATATTTGTAGCATGCAGCTCCAGCTTCACGTTCTGTAAAACCTTCTTTCAGAATTCCAGAGGACCCAGATTTACCTAACAATTGTCAATGACGAGTTACTGTCAGGTAAATATTTTCCTTATTTTTAATAATCCCTGGTTGAATATGAACCCCTTCAGGCCTAAAGTATTTCATACTGAGGCTGCTGTGTGTGAATAGGAAACATTTTTTTATTATAGCAGCAGCTTGAAGCTTAAGGTGAACTAAATATTTTGTTATTCATTCCATCTTTATGTAGTGGGGTAAAAGATGTGATAGTAACGTTGTAAACCGAGTCATGTTGTGTTTCTTGTTTTGTTTGTGTATAACCAAGATGTTATAATCACAATATAATTGTGTATAATCAATAGATATCAAGATGTTATAATCGCAATATAATCAAGAGAGTAAGGCAAAGCAGACAATGATCACAAAAAGAGAATAAGTGGAAGAGCTTACCCTTCAGCTGAGCTCACCAGAAGACACCAAGAGAGGTGATCTCCAGAAGAGATCCTTCCCCTCTGGTAGCCAGCTCTTAAATAGGTCCAGGAGGGCTGCAGCCTGGCTCCACCCCTTCCGGCAGCACAGGTGAATTGCCTTCAGCTGTGCTCCTCTGGCTGACTCAAGGCTCACCTCAGGTGATCAATCAGAGGTTCAGGCCGTGACTCAGCAGTTCCCATACATGTTTGTTTGTTTTTTTTGAGCCTTTTCCAGTCCCCCTTCAAAAAGCCGTGTAAGCCATGTCCAGTCCGTTCCAATATGTAGGTATGGACAGGCAGAACCCTGTTGGCCTTGTTGGAGACTGGAGGATGCTGGTTTTCCTTGCACCAATTAGAAAACTGGGCAAGTCCAGTGGCTGGCTGACAGGAACATTTTCAAGCAAAATAACTTTCCTATCTGTTTGATCCCTGGTCTAGCAGTTCTAAACATTCATGTTGTTGTAGATGTTGTCTTTACTTGCAAGCATGAAAAGGAATCTGTGGGGTTCAGGTGCTACAAAGTAGCTGTTCCAAGCTGTCTGGAAATGGGAGGCGTGTTCCCAGAAATTGGTCAAAACGAGGTTATTGGAGAATGGCAACTAGGATGGCATAAGGTAGCTTCCAGGATGCACTGCAGCCAAAAGAAACAACAGTGTGCAAGCCTCTAATTTTATGCTGACGTTTAACAGAAAATAAACTCTATTCTGAATTACATGATTCATTTGTGTTAAATGCTTTTAGAAGCAAGTATAAAGCTTACAGAGGCAATAATAGCATGGTGAAACCATGTGTCGGTGATACAGTGGATTGATTTCACCTAAAAGTCAATTTTGGCCTTGCTCTTCTGTTTCTCCAACCTTCTGAGTTCCCTGGGTAAGTTGTTCACTGGCAATCAAGTGGTTATAAAAAGAGAGCCAGCTGATGTTGCAATCCAGGCAGTGGCCATATAGTGGAAAGACTCTCCTTTGGCATGTCCACGAGTGCTATTTTTACCTATTCCAGTAAGATCTGCCCTTGTGATGTTAAATTACAGGCCGTTACCTGGAATTATTCTGTTTTACAGAAGCACTATCTGCTCTAACGAAGACTTTTAATAAAATGATCAGGCAGATCAAGACTAAAATTCTCATGTTTGAAAATACTGTTTCTCCTGTCACCACAAATAATACTTCTGCTCTAATTGTGATTCTTTAATTTCTGTTTGTGTATTTCATGGCAGGCAGAGGTTTTGCTTTGTTTTTCTGTTTTGGTTTCCTTTCTGTAGTAAGTGTGTTGTCTATCTCATCTCTCACGTGGAAGCTTTAAGTAAGCAATGTGATGTAAAGGACAAGCCCAGGAATAAGCGGGTTGGAGTTTTTTAGTCACAGCTTCCAAAAACTCAAACTGATGTTAACTAAACTTGATGTTCTTTCATCAAGGAACCCTAGTGGGTTCCTTCACCCATTAGGAAAGGAGTTAATATTGTTTCTTGTTAGAGATGTCCAGCGCTGCTGGTGGCAGATAGCTGTAACTACCCAACTGGTAATGAGAACTGAGTAAGCAGCAAGAGTAGCCTCAAAGTGTGGTTTGGCTGTAGGAGCATCACGTGGAGAACATCACTTGTGGAAGGACTGCTTAAACCAAAAATAGTGAAATGTTTAATTTCTGTTTTTCTAACCTGAAATATTGTCCAGGTGTATGTTTTAAAAGTTTCAGCAAAAAAAAAAAAAGACCTGAAAACACTGAAACGCAAACCTGTTGTTTCACAGTTCTTGTTCTGCCTGTTTGTGAAATGAGGTGTACTTTTGTAGCAGAATTTTTAATATTTCCAATGCAGTGTTTTGATACCAAAGTATGGTCCATGATGAACTTGTGTAAGTTCCATGTTCCTGTACAAAGCACCTGCTTCCCTTGCTCCTTGTCTTGTCCTGCAGTGCCTCAGGTGGAAATCCTGCAAGTAGGCACACTTCCTCCAATATGCAGGCATTTTCTTCTCCCTTAGTTTTGCCATTGTCTTAGGCAAACAATTCCACTTCTTACACTTAATTGAATCTCACATCTGCAATAGCAGCTGGTATTTTTGTCAATTCACTCACTACTTAAACTTTGATTCTTGCCAATTCTGTTAGCAGATGTTCTCCTGTGATTTTCGTTTTCCGTGTTTCTCTTATCTGTCAAGAAAAGTACACAGCTTTACTCCCTTACAGCTGTTGCTTTGGGTACAGGTAGCAGTGCTGTAACTGCTCCTTCTTTAACCCATCACATGAATTTTATGCTATGTTTTCTCAATTCGTAGTTGGGATTTCTTTTTCTTCTTACTCATTTTGTAGTACAAGTTGTTGTTTTTTTGCCTCAGACTTCTAACTAAATTTGAGGATTGTAACTGTATCCTTGTTTTTATCAGTCTGCTAACTGCCACAATATCCACTTCAAAGGTCTTTTGTAGTTGTTTTGAGGATGTGTCCCTCCGCTCCTCTGATCTGCTCTGTTTTTCTGTTTCTGGCCCCCACATATTCTCTGGTCTTATTTTCTAGACAGTATTCCTTAGTATTCCTTAGTAATGTAATCTGTATGGAGAAAAGAAGAAATCAAAACTTGATCCAGTATGGGTTATTTCCTAAGTGTGTCATTATTGCTCATCAGTTCTGTTAGAACTGTACAGTCAGCTTTTTCTTTGGTGTGTGGTGGGCAGTGTGCCATGCCTTCTCCACACTCTCTGCTTATCACAGAATGGTTTAGGTTAGAGGGGAACCTTAAAAATGACATAGTTCCAGCCCTCTGCTATGGACAGAGTTGCCAGCCACTAGATGAGGCTGCTCAGGATCCCGTCCTTGAATGCCTGCAGAGATGGGACATTCACAACTTCTCTGGTTGACATGTTACAGCGCTTCACCACCCTCTGAGTAAAATCTCTCTTCCCAGTGTCTAACCTAAATCTCCCTTTTATTTCAAAGCCATTTCCCCTTGTCCTATTGCTATCAGACTATTAAAAAGTCAGTCACCCCTCTGCTTTTAAGTTTCTTTCAAGTACTGGAAGGTGGCAGGTTTCCCTGGGGCCTTCTCTAAGCTAAACAAGCCCAACTCCCTCAACTTTTCATCATAGGAGGGAGAGGTGCTCCAGCAGGTGCTGCTAGCCCTGATGGCTGTGTGCCTGTGTCCCATCTTTGCCTTCTCTAGCATGAGATTTGTTTTGGAAATGGCTAAGTAGGATGGGAACTGTGAAGTGGGAAGGTGTTTTACTATTTACTTTCTAGTGAATGTTTTTGTATATATGACTCTTGCTTCTTTAGCTAACCTTAGCTTCGTATTTTTAATCAAGACTTCTTCAGATTCCCTAAGAATTCTTCCTTTTACAGTTACAGTTGTACACAAGAGATAGCAGTAACCTTAGAGGCTTAGCTTGTTACTTTTTTTTTTTAAATTCAAGGTTTGATGGGACATTTGTGAGTCAGCAAGGTGATGGCATGTGTAACTAAGGGCCTGATGTCTGAGAAGGAAGTATGTACTTCAATGAGTTTCAGCTGTAAAAGACTTTTGTGGTGTTTCTTGAATAACTGTGAGTTTATACTGAGTTGTGGTCACGTAGTCTGGCCTTACACAGTGCATCTCCTTACACTGAAGTGTTGTCTAAAAAGCAGTAGATGGCCATGAAAACTGCTAGTAGATGGAAAGTAAGGTAACTCTAATGTTGTAATTGAAGAAGTCATTGGTTGGCTGTTGATTTGGTGTGTTGTATATGTGCTAGAGTTTGCCTATTAAATTTTGTTTGTCTTGTTTTCCACAGATGATGCACTTCATCATTTTGTCATAGGACTTCATTGACATAAAGGAAAACTAAAGGTACAAATCTCTGCCATGCCCTTCTTCCTTATCCTGCCTCATCCTTCCTTCCAGGTTCCATGGGTTATCCTCAGGGGGAGGGGCGCAGTACAAATGAGTTCTGTGCTTGTATTCCTTGACCGTTACCAAAACTTGCTTTTTGTGTTCTGAAAAATTCCATAACATTCATATGATGTCTAGAGTTGTTTCAGTGTTTGCTTTATCAGAAGTGTATGTTTAACTTAAGCTCTTTCTTTAGTTAGTATCAACAGGTATTTACTTTGCAGGGCAAAGCTCTTCCTCTGTTTGGAACTTTATTGATATTTTCCTCTAGATACCGTTTACCTTTCCACACAGCTACATATGTTCTGTGAATAATTCAGACCTCACACTAAGTCAGGTCTGTGGCATTATCTTCCAAGTAGTGGGATTTCCTTGTTTTTTTTTTAATTTTTATTTTAATTTTTCCTGAGATTGTACCTCTGAAATACTTTGACTAGTAAAAACCCACACAAAGAACTGCAAATTCATGGAAGTATTTAGTAAGATAATATAAGATAGGGTAGAACTGTCGCATTATTTTTCTTTGCAGGCACTCAAGGCACTAAGTGTTTGAGATGTTCTAAGTAATTTTGCTTGGATACAGTCTGTACTTTCTCCTTAGGTTCAGTTTTTATTTGCCAATTTTTGCAGGTTTCTTTGCAAGTATCTGTTTTGGAAACAAGTCGAGCTGTCCAGGCATGTTGTAACTTAAATACTCAAGTATTATCACGTTAGCTTTGGTTCACACTGCAGAAACTTACGTTAAATTATTCCCAGGTGCATTTACTGGCTCTGAAGTACGAGGAGGAATAATTTGTTCTTGTGTTCTAAGCTCACAGAAGGTATCTTCAAGGTTCCCTTCAGACTTTTCTTGGCTACTGCTGCCCCTGCTCCTCTCTGTCCCACAGGCCTGGTGACCAAACACCATTTGATCACTGCACAGCCGCTCCTTCATGCCCCCCCAGGTGGGCTGGGGTAGGGAATCCCAAACTCGTGACAGGTTCCTTCGTTGTTTCTATGCTCAGTTCCATAAAATTGCTGCATTGACCTCCTGTGGCACTGCTGGTTCTGGCACAGATCCCCATTCAGTGAAATACACTTAAAATTTAAAACTGGTCTGAGGACACTGGAATCTTGAATCTTTTGGATCTCTGCATCCTCCTCCAACTGCCTGCTGTTTCGTAGCCATTTTTAACAGCAGTTGCAGTGTGCTTGAGCTGCGTAACAATTCGAACATATGTAGCCTGCATAGCTATCACATGTCAGTAGTTACTTAGTTGACCTCACCTCAGGCTTTCTTTTCAGAAAACTGGTGTTTATTTGAAGAGCAGTTGTGGCATCCTCAGTGTTAATTCATTTACTACATGCAGCTGAAGGAGAAAGCTGATAATTCTTTGTGCTGAAATTCTCCGTCAGTTTTGTTCAATTCTCAAGAACTTGTGTGGGAAGGGCATTTGGTGGATTGCTGACATTTGAGTAACTTTTTCATCCTTGCTGTAAAGTGGATGAGTTCCAGGGAACTCTTAACACAGTTTGGGGCTTTCATCCGTACTTGAAACAATTCAAGCATGAGAAAGCTCAAAATGCAAATAGGCTGAGAATGTGTGTGCAGTTGATAGCAAGACTTGTGGGAAAAAAATGCTTGTCCAAAGTCTGACTTGCCTGTGTACCATGAATAACCCTGTGAACACATAGCCCTGCTTGTGCAGGCAGGGTCCTTTTGGGTATCTGTCTGTTTCTCTACATCCTTTTCTGATGAACTCTGCTGGGAAGAAGGTAACATTATGGTGAAAAGCCAGTCTGAGTGTGACACGAGTGTCGTAATGCAATTCTGATAGAATCAGGTAAAGTATAGCATTGGTCAATATGCTTTTTATTTCTAGCAATGCATTTGAATTTACCACATTTAAAAACTAAAGTCTTAAATATGACTTCGGCTGCAGTAATCTTCATAATGTTGAAAGAACACCTTAAAACATTAAGTGAGCCCCTCTGAAAATATTTATCAATTTTTATCATAAGGTAAATGTTATAGGTCATCGCACTTCAGGTAATGGCTGCTAAATCAGTTTAGGATTCTTCCTAGTACTAATGAATAGACATTAAAGAATGGAGGTTTTATGCCATGCTGTAGGGTTTTGGTGCTTTGTTAACAAACCTTCTACCTAATGTAAATTGAAAAAAATGTTGTGTTTTCCCAGGTCATCTTGTTCTTTCATGGCTGTTCTTATAACAGTTTAATGGTTTTTTTGTTGGTGGTTTTTGGGTGTTTTTTTTTTTATTTATTTTTTATTTTATTTTATTTTTTTTTTTTTAGGGGGAATCTAAAGTCAGCAATTGTACTTAACTACAATTTCTAAAAGTTGTGATTGAGTGCTTGTAAATACCAGCTGTGTTTTTCTTTACCTGAGGTGGTTGCTGTGTGATGTTCTGTTAGATACAGGCAGAGTGTTTAGTGCTTTTGGTTCTCTGACGAGGGAATCTGGATTTTTATAAGGGCTCTCTTAGTTTGGACTTAATAGAAATTTCACATGGGAAGAAATGGGTGACTGACAGCCAGACTGTGTGTGTGGAAAAGCACAAGCCAAAGAGATGGTAGCAGCACTTGGTTAGGAGAACTAGTCTGGAGGCAGTGTAACCACCAGGAGGAGAAGCACAAAGCAGCTGAAGGTGCAGATAGTTTTGGAGATAAGCACCTCATAGCCAGAGCCTGAAGTAGAATCTAAGAGCAGAAATGTCTTAAGAAAAGTGATTTCCTGCAAACTGGGTTAGAGGAAGATGGTTCGTTGTAGAGCTCCGTGGTCTCTGGGTTACTGTACAAGCAGTGTGCTGCCTTTATTACTGCAGAGGGAATGCATGGTGGCTTTTATATTTATTTTAATCATACTTCCAGAGGTGCAAATACTGTTTCAAAACATTTATGGCTTAAGCTCATTGAATGTTCTGCATTTTCCAGGAAAAAAAAGCCAGAACCCTTTAGGGCTGTAATATTGGAGTTGTACGGCTTCATTGATGTTTTCTAACCAAAATTTTAGTCTCAAAGTTTTTCTTAGATACAGGAAAGTATTAATCTTGCAAAGGTTTAATCTATCTGAAGGTATGTCAGCCTGAGCAGTTGTATCCCCTGCTGCTGGAAGTAGATCCCAGTGCTTGGAAAAACAAACAGTGAATAAAAACTCTTTTTTCCTCCTTGAATACCTTACAGTTACAATAGCAAGAGAATGTTGGAATTGGTGACTATGAAATGGATGGTTCAGAGAAATACAGCTGCTGAAAAGATCAGAAAAACTGTTAGGGAAACATAGAAGGTTTGTATGTCATGGATCAGGGTTAGGAGGAAATACCCCAAACTTACAGGTGTGTGGGAGATGCGCTCGAGTTCCTGCCATGATCCTAACTCTTGCCCCATGCTTATTTGCATGGATAACAGCTTCATTTATTAGGAATGGGTCTACATTTATCTTCTGGTATGTAAAGATAGATGTACAGCCATGTGTTACAGTAGGTACTTGTTTGGTGCAGAGGGCTTGTTTGTTTGTTGCTGCTGTTCTGTGTTGTTTTCCCACAGCTCACCCAAGCAGTACTGAATCAGTTGGAAATCTGTAAGTGAGGGGAGCTGAGGGAGACTGCAGTTGAATATATTGATGATCTTTAGTCACAGTGATAAATTTTTTTCTCGTGAGCAGCTCTTCAAATGGAAACATTTGTTAAAAGGCAGTTTTCAAACGAATTCCGCATTTTCTTCTTTGGTATTTTGCCTTCGTATGCATTTTTGCTAAATGTGAACATGACCATTAATTGTTCACGTGGGAAAGACAGGCAAAGTTGTGTGTTTGTTGGGAGGGAGAACTGGATTTATGTTGTCTTTAAAAGCTCTTGGAGTCTCTTCCAGAAGTAAAGGAAAGGGCAAGGCACTTCACTTAGTATACAGAGGGGGCTGTGCTTTGTGTCCTGTGAGCTTTCAGCCTTCTCTTGTAGCAGTCAGCACTCCTCAGGGAGACGGACCCAAATTCTCGACAGTTCAGACTAAACACTTCTGGTGGTCATGGAAAGAGTTTAAGTAACTTGAAGTATTTTGGGGATTCGCTCTGTAGATGGTAAAAGACAGGGTTCTGATTTGACTTCATGCTGGTGAAATACATTTAACTGTTGATCTTTGTTGCTTCTCCTAGCTTTCCCAATCAAAGGATATCTTTCTTTTTATTCTCCAAACATGATTACTCTATGCAGGTAGATTGTCTACAGTTTCTAATAGTTCTTAATTTTTAGTACTGATTTTTATTCTAGCAGGCAAACAGATTCAGGAAAATGTGACTTTCACAGTAATTAAACCGTGAAAAAAAAAAAAAATTGTTCAGGCTGTGATTAGGATGGGATTAAATTTTTCTAATGATGTTGTCTGTGGAGAGTATTGGTAAAGCTTAATAGATAAAAGTAGATACACTGCTCTGTAATGTCACTTTGAATGAGGGAAAAAAGCTTCTGGTGTGTATCAGATTTTAGAGTGCTTATCACTGGTGAGATTTTTCTGCCTAATCTGGTTTTAGAAATGAAGCCTAGGGACAATTCATTCAATCATTTTTAAGGAATTTGTTACTGCCAGTACGTGCATGGCACAGCACTTTATTGTGTTTGCTTTTAATGTGTTCAAATGGCTGTCATCCTTCAAAGAGTACTGGTTAAAAGTGCAGTCTGGATCATAGTGTGTCATATATCTGTGGGGGGTAAGGGAATTATAGAAGATTTTTTTCTGTTAGAGTGTTTAATTTGAGATTTATCACGGTCGGTTTCTAGTGGTAGTGGACCTAGAAGATCAATTTGCTCATACTTCAATATCTTAAAATGTTACTTGAATGCTGCTGTTGGAGTTCTTCAGTTGTAGACAGACTGTAGTAATTTTGATGAAGAGTAGCTGGAACAAAAATCTAACATTCAGCTGGCAATGGATCATTGGACATAGTGCAAGCCTTAATAACAGGTAATATCATGTCTCAGAAACGTGTTTTTAATTCATTTAAAAGAAGAAAAACTAGTTTCTGCTGGGATAGACATAAACTTGGAATTATGTATTTGTGAAGGCATTGTTGTGAAATCCTTATATTTTAAATTAAATTTCTCTTAGAAGATATTGGACATCTCTTCACTGAAATGGACTGGTGTGGACCTTGGAGAGTTTGAGGAAAATTAATTTAGTTTCAGTAGAAATGTATTTCATCAGATAGTGGTTGCAGTTGAAGATCCAAAATGAATAAATAAACCAATGCTAGGGCACAGGGTATGGGAAACTAGAAGGTAAGCAGTGCTTATATGTGTTTCATATAAGGAGGTGACCAGAAATGGAACCCAACCATGTCCTGTGAATCTGGTGTCTGTTGTCATCTGCTGCTGTGCATGCTGTCGTGTTCAATTAAGAACTAGAGTCCATGTGCGTATTTTGTGTGATGGTGTATTTGTTAGCAGTTCAGAGCTAGTCACACGGTTACCGTGTTTGTGTCTTACTGGTATGCATGCAGTGAGCTGTTTGAATACACAGTGTTTTGTATCTTTGTTTTTAAAATATATAATTTTCTTCGCTGGCTTTCTTTACCCTAGAAGGCAGTGGAAAGGTGTAAGTAATTCATAAATTACCTCTTAAGGGATGGCTTAATTGTCCCTGGTCTTTGGGGAGTGAAGGTGTCTAGGAGTGGCCCATGTGGTATCAGAATGCAAGTCTTGTCTAGACTAAACCCTCCATCAATCCAAGAAAAATAAGACATCAAGAACAAAGTTACAAGGGCTCACGACTTCTGTCTTTCTTCAAGAACTGCAAGCCTGTCCTCTCCAGTGGGAAGTTCCACCTCTACTGCCGTACCAACATCCATCTCTGACATCGTGGGCCAACATAATAACATAGGTGGCATTACTTTCGGAGCAGCCCTTGTGTATCTGTTAGTAACTGCTCAGAGTGCTACAGTCTGAAGAGAAGTGTTTGGAAAGCTTAATTCCCTTGAGCAGAACAGTTACTTAAATAAAGGTCCTAGGAGTGCGTGATCAGAGACAGTGCTGATGTTTGCCTTGTACGGAAGGCTGACAGCAGCTGATCTGGAGCCTGCTGTACATGCAATTACAAAACCAATTCCTTCAGTTTCTGAAGTGTGCAGTAGGCCTCTCGCATTTGGATGAGAGAACACTGCTAAGAGTAGGGAAGTCCTTTTCTTATGGTACAAAATGCAGCTTTCATCAAGATTCAAGTTTGAATGTTTTGTTATTTCCTGTTTTCACTGAATTCTTCAGGAAATGTTGGCAGCAAATCAAAATATTGAATGTATAGGCTGTAATGTTACATTGTGGTCAACCTACTTTCATAATAGCAAAAGCAACAAGGAGTCCAGTTGGACTGGATGATCTTGGAGGTCTTTTCCACCCTTGGTGATATGATTTATATAGTATCTAGACATTTGACAAGAAGTATTAGGTAAGTTGAGAGGATAGAAGACAAACTTCACTGGTTTTCATGCTGACACCCTTACCTATCAATTTATCTCCACTCTTTTTATTAGGGCTGTTTATATGCACAATGTGGCTGTTGCAACTGCACGTAACTTCTTTTTCACCTTTCTGTTTCACATCTAGGAAAATACATTCAAATTCTAGACCACTGTGCTGGTACTTGGTTGTATATGCAGAAGTATTGCATTGTATTCCTCACTTCTATCTCCCTTCTTTTTTCAGAGGTTCAGTTTTGCCATTTCTCTTATCCCTTTTACATCAAGTATAAAACTGTTGTTATTTACCTTCCATAGATTAAAAAAAAATAATAATTTCAAGTATCTAAATCTTATTAGAACTTGGTTAGAAACTGAATTTTAAATGTTACTGATATTTTAAACAACGTCCAGAACTTTGTGCAACTGGGCCTGGACAGCTGACAGCACTGACTCAGGGATGACACGAGTTGGCAAGGAGAAGATGTCTGTGTTCATTGTATGAATTGTCAGTGAAAGAAATGCTCACAAACTAACTCGTAAGGTCCCTTTGTAGCACAGGGTATAAAAGGCCATAGTGTAGAATGTGGAATGGAGGGTGGAGGTGTGCTGTTCTTAATATGCATATGGAGATACGTGACATGGTTTTGGTTTTACAGTCAGTTTCATGGGATAGTTGACAGGCAGATGTATGGAGGCCTTAGAAGTGAAGGGGTGAGCAAAAGACCTTTTATTTATCCACCTGGAATTACACCACAGTGGCTTTTTCTTTGTGAGGATGTGAAAGAAAACCTTCTTGGTATAGTTATAGTGACTTTTTGCAGCTCAGAGCTTCTGAACTGGAGTACCAGGAGTCTGAGGGCAGAACTGGACAGGGCCATCTGGTTTGGGGTAAGACCAGTTCACAGTTGGTGCTTACGCAGTTCTTGAGCAGGTTGGACTGACAGTCATTCACTCTCCTGCACTTTTGCCCATCCTCAGCCTGCAGTCTTCTGGCACAACAAGTGCTCGCTTGACCCTGTGGGTGAGCCACTTCAGGGGCTTACAGGGGAGAAAACAGTTTTTTCACTGCAATGGTTTCTTACTAACTTAGATTAATTCAGTTATCTTCAAATTCAGGAGTAGTGCCACTGTTACAGTATCAGTCATAGAGTCACTACCACTGTGGTTTTGCTGGAACGTTTTCAGACTTCCCGTCTATCAGGCTCTGGGCAGCCTGGTCTGGTGGTTGGCGACCCTGCCTGTGGCAGGAGGTTTGAAACTAGATGATCATTATGGTCCTTTTCAACCCAGGCCATTCTATGATTCTCTGACTGTTGCCTAGCTTATGATGTCATCTTGCTTGCTAGTGTTTTGAGGCTGTGGATTGAAGAACTTGCTAGGAAATACCAGTAGGACGTGACAAACATGGAGGTGCTAAAAACACACCACAGAAATACGCTTTTGAGAGATTGTGACAAAATCTTGTATGCAGTCTCTTGGGATGGAAAATTACTTGTAGGCCATAAAATGGCACCAAAATTATGACGTTTCCTTTCTGTCTGATAGGGTTTCACTGAAATATGAAACAGAAACCTGATATTCCTGTTAATATTTTTAGCAGTATCACCTACAGTGGATTCATTACATAAGCTCAAAGATGCCTAAAGAATGAGGTAGGTAGCAGAGAGTGGCTGGATTATTTATTTTCTTCTTCTATTGCAAAGTCTGTGTGTGATGGTAGGTTGGCTCACATGAGCCAACCCTTTTTTACGGTTGTTGATTATGTTTCCTTTTTAAATGCTTGTCAGATCTGGGTTCAGATCTTCAGTAGCTTTGAGTGCTTATGAATCTAGCGAAGGCTTTTTGGAGTTGTGCTTTGAGTAACACTTTCAAATTCAAGTTTACCCTGCTGGACATCCCCAGATGGGCACTTAATACTAGTGAGATGTTTTTCCATGAATTCTATTGCTTTATCTCTTCAATTGTAGAAAACAGCAAGGATGTGAGGAAATGGATGGGAGCGTTCAAATAATTCGCAACAGACAAAGCACAGAATGAAATGAGACATATTAGAAGCTGATAGGTGCTCAGTAAAGGAGTTTTTGGTGTTATGCACTGATTTTTTTGGGTATCTGGGGAACAGTGTAGGTCTGTCAGTCTAGTATTTTCTTGTACCGTAAGGGGACAGAATTGCAGTTGCTTGGAAGACCTTTATTTTGGCATTTCCTGACTAATGTGTTTTTTGACTTAGTAGGCTTTATATGACTTTCTTTCCCTTTCACACAGATGACCAGGAATGTAGGCAGTGTGCAGAAGTCACTAAAAGCAAATCTGGAGTTCATCTACTAACTTGGCACTTGCACTGGGCAGTTCTAAGCGTTGAGTTTGCAGAGGTTTACAGAGAGATGCAGACTTACGGGGGAGAATAAACTACTAAGCTTATTTGCATTATTCTATTATTATTATTATTATTATTATTATTATTATTATTATTATTATTTTCTTTCTGAAAGCTTAGTAGACAATCCGGCCACTTTGAAATTTACCAAGGATTTCATTTCAGATTTCAAAACTTGTTTCTGACTTTGCTTAGTTTTTGAATAAGATTTGGAAAATAATTTGGAGTTAAATAAAGCAAGCAAACAACACCCAAACCACAGAACAGAAAGACACCCAAGCCAGTCCCTTGACATCACTGATAAAAATGGGGTTTCTTCATTGCTTTTTGTTGTAATTTCTGTTGGGCCACTTTTTCTTTCTTAAAATACAGGTATGCTAATGATTGCAACCGTATCTGGCATACAGGACTATTTTGGCCTGCAGCTAGCATCAAAGCTAGCTTCAAGCATTGACTGTCTAAACTAAGATGATGGTAATGAGCTGCTGTGACAACTAGAGGTGTAGTGAGAATGCAATTGCACATACATACATGTAGATCTGTGCAGAAAGTCCAGTGCTGTCAAAACTCGGGCTGACTTCACAGATGCGGGTGAACTGTACTGTGTATGTGTAGGTTGTCACAAGGGAAGAGGCAGTGCAGTCCCCAGATACCTCTGAAAAGAGATGGTGAGGTCTGCTGTGCCAGGAAGGTTCAGTAGCTCTTAGTGAAAGATGCTGTAATTTTCCCTCACTCCTCTAATTTTGTTGTTTCTTTAGTCTGCATCCATGGAGCACATTCAGGGAGCTTGGAAGACTATCAGTAATGGTTTTGGACTCAAGGATTCTGTCTTTGATGGCCCAAACTGCATTTCACCAACCATTGTCCAGCAGTTTGGTTATCAGCGCCGAGCATCTGATGATGGCAAAATATCAGATACTTCTAAAACCAGTAATACCATTCGAGTTTTCTTGCCCAACAAGCAACGTACAGTGGTAAGTCTGTGTTACCTTGATGGAAGCATTGTGGTGCATTGCTAACGCTATGACGTTTATTTTTACTATAGAAATGACAAGCTTCACGAAACCTTACTTGTGTTTTTGAATATGTTGTCATCAATTTTCCAATTCTTGAGGACACATGTTGTAAGCTGTGTGGCTGTACTTTGAGACCTAGTATTTCTCTACCATGCTGCTGCATTTTTCCATTGTGCATGAGCACAGTCATTTCTATCACTGTTTTATTCACTTGAAGTATGCCCACAGGGAAGCGTGGTAATTGGTGTTCCCTCAAGAAGCTTCACTTCTATGAGATTTCCCAGAGTTGAAGACACCAGTAATAACTAAAATCTTGATCAGAGCTCTCTAGAATCTAAATTCTTTTTTTTTTTTTAAACTTAGTATATCCATTTGCCTGCATTTCTGTTGTTTTTGTAGCCTACCTGTGTATATGAGCTTTGTACAGATTTGGTTTACAAGAAACTTAGTAGCTATAAGAAATTAAAGTAATAAAATGGCCTTAAAACTTCCTTTGCCTAAGTGCACGATAGCAGAAAACATGCCTGCCTGACAGGTTGGCTTAATGTGCAGTGACTTGAATTGGAGGGCACAGAAGTTTGTTGTTACATAATTTGGACAGTTGTTTATTTATTTGTTAATTTTAAAAGTCATCCGTTGCAGAAAAGGGTTGAGGCATAATACTTTCCTTTTCTCCAAAGAAGCTTAAATGAACTGTACCATCATGCAGTGCATTTCTTCTTCCTTTGGACACAGGTAAATGTGCGAAATGGGATGACCTTACATGATTGTCTCATGAAGGCACTTAAAGTAAGAGGTCTGCAGCCAGAATGCTGTGCAGTTTTTCGTCTTGTTACTGAACCAAAAGGGTAAGAGTCCATAATGTTATGCATGAAACTGTCAACCAGAGAATTTAAAAATCTTGTTTCTAGAGTAGTGGCAGTAATGCTTTCTTTCCCTTTTTTGCTAATTTCTTTTGAAAATGCAGACTGTGAACACTTCCGTGTTGCTTTCTTTACCCTCTGCTAGCGCAAATCCTTAAGCTTCCTGGGTATTTCTTTTCTTTAACATTTTCTAAGTATTAAATGAGGAATGAGGGCTACATGCCAAGTGCTTGTTGCATCTTTTTCTCATACTCTCGTTGAAATGATGTGATATGCCTTCATATCTGAGGTGCAGTTCTCATTCTGCGTTTGTAGTTCGTAAACCAAGTTGACTGAAGATCTCCTCTGTGCTCAGTTTTAAGGCCCTGCATTCCTCTACACATTTTCAATATTTGGACTTAAAATCTCACTTCAGGTATTCCTTATTTTTTGTAGGACCGGGGATGCTGCTATTAAATACCAAATGATTCTTTTACAAGCTGAGGGAGTGAAGGTATCTCACGGAGTTAATATGTTTAACTTCACACCTCAAAAGGCATGGGCTTAATGCTCCTTTAAGCCTCAGTCACAAGGCGATCATTTGTGGTTTCACAGCTCTGTATAACTGAGTCCATTCTGAGGTCACAAGTAACTTCAGTGCTGAAGCATGTAATACAGCTATCATGTCACTAAGTCATAATTCATAATTTCTTGTTTTGTTTTTGTAGCTCCTAGGTTGATTACTTCAAATAATCCATATATTTAAATGACTTGTTTAAAACAAACAAAAAGAGTTAATTGCTATGCCTTAAAGTCAGTTATATTTTTAAGGTAAAGATATTGAACTGCAGATCATTATAAGAGGTTAGCTGTGCTTTTTTGTTTGTTTTCAGTTGACTCACAAAAAAAAAAAAGCTCACAAAACATAGATCACTGATTAGATGCAACTTCTTACCTCCTAAGTAAATCTGGCCTGCCCACTTTTTCTTTCTTCCAGTAAAAAAGTGCGTTTGGATTGGAACACCGATGCTGCCTCCTTGATTGGTGAAGAACTGCAGGTGGACTTTCTTGATCATGTTCCACTCACTACACACAATTTTGTAAGCTTCTCTCCTCTTGCGTATTTTGAAATACATGTTATTAGTTGAACTGCATATTCAGTCAAGGGATGTTACAGGAATATAGAGGCCTTCTAGCTCTGTAAACATGGGGGTTGGAATTTCAGAAGTAATGATTTGTTTTTTCCTCCCCACTGCTTCCCATTAATTAAATTGGCTAAATATCAATTGACAATGGAGTGTCAGAATTTTATTTATATTCAGTTTCTAGATGTCAGAGACTGTAGAAGCTTACCTTTACACCATCAGCACCCTGATCAACATTTCTATTAGTTGAGATTATATAAGGATATATTTCTGTAACTATTATATTAAGATATCAGGTCTTTAGAGTTCAGAACTGGGAGGCAACTTGCATTTTCAGTGTTTATCTGATTAAATTAAAAAAAAACACTGGATAAGCTCAGCAGCCTTATGGTTCTGTTGGCAATTGTACTGAATATGTAAAGGTGTTGTCAGTTCTGTGAGGTTTTGAGGTTGCTTTGAGAGCTGATGCTGCCTGGTAAATTGACAGTCTTCTAGGGAGGGGGAAAATATAAGATTTGCTCAAAATAGAGCAAATTAATAGAGCTAATAAATTAATAATAAAAACTTTCAGGCCTTCACATGTGTAGAGGAAGAAGCAATCAAGGTTACAGATAAGTAGATGATGGAGGCTGTTATTTTGTTAATTTAAACAGCGATAGTGTCCAACTGTTAGAGAGTTTCACCTTCTGTTATTTTGTTTTCCATGTGAATCAACTGTTTCTGCTTCGTAGCCTGTTGTTTTGCTCCAGAAGTATATTGTACAAAGTGATTATCACTTATCAGTTAGAAAGCCTAGGATTGATTTGCAGTAACTGAAAATAGCTTTGCTTATACTTAGCAGTATTAGAAAAATACAAATAAAATTGTTTGCAATTTCTTACAAAGCCTAATATTTTGTTCCAGAACCGGAGGAAATTCAGACTTGCAGCTGTTGTGTATGGTAGAGTTCCATTGTAGGCAGAAAGCCTTTCATCCATTCATTTTTATGTCTTTTCTTTGGATTTCAGAAGCTTTAAAAATGTTGGATGTCATTTTGAAAAATGGCATTTCCTTAAACTGCTTTATATCCTAAGGAAAGGATTTCTTATGTTAGGGTTATTGGTTACCTATGGGCTCACAACAGATACTGTGATGAATAAAGAAAAAGGCATGGTTCTTACGGTCTGATCCTCCTGCACTTCTGACGATACCAACTAGACAGAAAACAAACAAAAAAACCAATTCCCACCCATCTCTGTCACCTTACCAAGTGCAAGATGTTGCTTTTGAGTCTGGTGGAACAGATTTGTGCCTTTTTCTTTTCATTTTAAATGATTGGCAGGCAGTGCCCTAATTATTTGTAAGCTTTTCCAGGTTTCCAGCCAAACAAGAAATACACCCAAGAAAACTTGTGTAACTTTACGTTCAGTAACATCTTGGGGGCACTGGGAACATTTTATCATTGTTTTTATTTATGTCAAGCTCTAAAGATGTTCATCTCAGCTAATTAAGAGAATGTTGGATTGATGATTACATGCATTTTCTAGGCTCGGAAGACATTTCTAAAGCTTGCTTTCTGTGACATCTGCCAGAAGTTCCTCCTAAATGGGTTTCGGTGTCAGACGTGCGGTTATAAATTCCACGAGCACTGCAGCACTAAAGTTCCAACCATGTGTGTCGACTGGAGCAATATCAGGCAACTCTTGTAAGGACTGTTCCTTTCTAATAGCAGTAGTGGCTCTCTTGGGCTCTGGTGGTTGTTCTTTGTTTTTAAAATCTCACCGTAGAGATGATTTGGATCTTTGGGAGGTGTAATTACGTTCACCAGTTTACAGAACACATGTATTGATTTCATAAAGCAGCCAGCAATGACTGTCTGTTCCCAGGAGAAGAAGGCCAATTGCATGCATTTTGTTAGTGCTGTGAATTTCAGCATTCTCAGACAAACAAATGAATGTATTGAATGAGCAGGCAGGTGCTATAGTGCCCTTCTGATTCAGTGTGGGAAGGCATCCTAATTCCTCTTTTATAATACTTCAGTTATAAGAAAAAAAATTCACGACTCGGTGGTTTCACCTGTTGGAAAGATGAATGTTTCAGGAGTGTCAGTGCTTTTGATAGGCCACCAAAGAGGAATGGAATGGTGAGAAAACTGATGAAGGATAATACTTAGAAAATATTGATTAGAAAAAGTTGAAAATCGCTGTTAGAAGTCCTTATATGCATAACAATTGAAACCTATGAATGTGTTTGTATCTTTATTAGTGATTGTGTTGTTATTTTTTTTAATAACTGAACTTGGACATGCAGTTATACTGATGAGCAGTCAGAATTTAGGATGATCGCGTCACTTGATGCTACCAGAGTTTAATAAAGATTAAAAAATGTTACTCTCAAATATCCTGTTGAGAAAGTCTGAAGTCTTGCAGATTTGCATCTGAAGTCTTAATTTTATTAAGAACACGTGAAAATTCTCCGTGAGAGTCCGATGATGTAGCTTTTAGTTGTACCATACAGAGAACAAATGTTAGGCAAATACAGGAACTGGGGACGTGTTCGTGCAGAGCAAAAGTCCTTTAAATTCTCAGTTTTAAGAGCATTGTACAGGAGGTAGTGTAGCAGTTGAAATTGTAATTGTTTTTGTTGATATTTCAGATTGTTCCCAAATTCAAATATCAGTGACAGTGGTGTCCCTGCACTACCTCCCTTGACAATGAGACGGATGCGGGAGTCTGTCTCCCGGATACCTGTTAGGTAAGCTAGTATTTCCTGTCATTTCTCTTTTGGGAAATACACTTGTTTAAAAACAAAAAAATCCACACTCCCAACTCCTTGAAAGTAGAAGAATATAGAAGGTTGAGATAAATGTGCAAGAAGGCAACAGCCTACATAGAAAATATCTGGTGTCATTTCTTACAGCTTCAAGCAAAGCATCAATTCTGGAATTTCTGTTTTTAAATTTTAGTCTAAAGATTTTAAGTGAGGATATTAAAAGTTTTGTGGAGACCTCTGTTTACCTGCCTAAGAAGAATTGATGTCGTGTGAGTGTTATTTCGTCTGATCATGTAGCATACATGTAAGGGTTTATAGCTTGCTTTTTTTTTGCGTGAGTCACATGCATAAACTAAAATAACATCTTGAATTGTGACTATAGGTAAGAGATTAAAGAGAGCAGTGGAAATAGAAAATAGGCTCACTTTACAGAAAGTCCTGAGGCCTGATTACTAAGAACATTCCTGTAGCTTTAATGCTAGAATATAAATCACTTTCCTTCCAAAGCAGCCTGTCTTCTGATGATAATTTGTGCCTGTATTCTTTTCCTTGAAATTCTAGAGGCTGGAGAGGGCAGGCCATCTTGTTTTCTCTCCATCCCTTTGAAAAATGTTGACCTGTTCAGGAATGAGGCACACAGCACGTAGCTGACTTGCAAATGGTCCTATTTATTTATTTATTTTACTGGGAACTACATCAGAAATTGATCTTGCGTTCATTTTCTTTGCCAAGTTATTCTATTTCTAGTGTCGCTGCACAATGACTTAGTGATTAGTTAGCTGGTTGTTTTTGTGAAGGCTGTCTGGTTTTGGTTAAGCTGCTTTTGTTATTTGGGATAAGTGAAGTTTGATTAAGGTTAGCTGTGATTTATAATTCTTTGCTGAACTGGATTTTACTGTTGGCCTCCTACTAACTGCTGTTGGGCTTCATGACTTCCTTGCTGGCTGTTCTGTGTGAGAAGTTGAACAGTCTTGCAAACTTCAAAAACTCAGGGCTTAGCAATAAAAAAAGTATCTTTCAGGCTATTCATTTAATAAGCTTGAAATGAGAGTTTAAATTTAACTGCTTGAATTAATTAATCCAACAGAGCCTGTAATTCATCAATATATTAAATATAATTTAATGGGGACTGAGGTGAACTGTGGCACATTTTATAATGGCAGAAGTACACTTAAACATGTTAGATCCGTGTGCCAAGTTCTTAAATTTATTTCCTAAGTTAAAGTGTAAATGGTTTGGCTGACCAAATAGTTTAGTTAGCATATAAATTCCAACATTTCCCACGTTTGAAATTTTGTGTGTATTACTGCTTTTGGTAGACTACACTGAAGACTATTTTTCTGACTGCTAGAGGGGAGAGAGGAAAAAAAATAACCACAAGTTTCTCTCTTTTCTTCTTAGCTCCCAGCACAGGTATTCTACACCTCATGTCTTTACATTCAATACATCAAATCCTTCCTCTGAGGGCACCCTTTCCCAAAGACAGCGATCTACATCCACACCAAATGTCCACATGGTTAGCACTACAATGCCCGTAGACAGCCGGATAATTGAGGTAATTCTGAAGGGGGTGCACTGTCATTCAGTTACACTGGATTTGTGACTGGCTATCTAATAGTCCCTGGTTGGTGCTTTTTCTTTTTCTGTAATTCATGTACTGTTTTCCTTAACAGGCTGTGATAAGACTATATAGATGGCACATCTGCCTAGAAAGTTAATAGCTCATTCTCACAGTCTTTATCAACTTCGGTTAAGTTCTAGGTAGATTTCAATGTCTTTGAAGTCGTGAGGGAGGCTTAACAAGTAAGTTTCGCAGATGTGAAAAGGGAACAATTTCAGCTTGTCTGAACATATGTGTTATTTGAGATATTTAAGAATGTTCTTTGAAACTTAAAGATCTGGACTGGGGGAGGGGGACCGATGGTTGTTTAAAAAGAGACTAGAGGTGGAAGTCTGGTTGCAATTCTCAGAGTCTGAATGCTTAAGTCAAAGCTTACTGCCAGGAGCTGTGTTACACCCTTATAGAACTGTGGATCCTAGGAAAGCCACCTGTATCTGAAAATACTTCTGCTGTTACTTGATTGCAGTAATCCCTTTATTTATTATTTATTAATTTATTTTTCCCCTTAGTTTGGATCCTTACACTGGAAACAGTGAGAGGTTTTGGAAGTGAAGTCTAAAGGATCCTGTTTGTTTGTATAAGGGAATGATTTACAGGAAAGGCTTGCAGAAACAAAGTGATGAACAGCAGGACTTCAGAGAGCACCCTGTTCTCCCCTCTGCCCCTCCTGGAATAAGTTAAATAAGTTAAAAAGTCCTTGGCCAAACAAAATCCTTTGACTTCTGAGTTTACTTGCTTATTGCTTCAGCTGGTAGCTTGTAGGCTTCTATGAAATGTAAAGACTCTCCTAAATGTGCCAGAGAACTGCTCTGCATCTTCAGTGAGGTGAAATGAAGTACGCTGCAACCCAGTGACAATTTCTTGGTTAGAAGCATTGGTTAGAAGCTGGATTTTGTGGGGAGAGGCACCATTCCTTACAGGCTAAGATTGTCTGCTCCTCGCCCCCCCTCCCACAGAGGCTTTGAACCTACTGTCTTCTATGGCACAAAAACAAAATGAAGCCTTACAAAAAGAGAATATGAATTATTAGGCTTAGTGGTGTGATAAGGGTTTGAGATACTGCTTTCTTTATTCTTTATGCTTAGTGGTAGAGAAAGAAATGCTTTCTATTCTGCCTATCATAGCGGATCGAATAAAAATAGCTGCCCTGTCTTAGAGGCAGTAGCTGCTTCTTCAGTAGGCTGTAAAAAAACAGCCAGACACAGGTAGTGAGCACCTTTAGGAATGATACGAAAAAGTCACCTTATTCAGACTGATTAATCACCTTATTACTCCTGTAATTTTTTTTTGCTGGAACAGGAATAGTTTCACTGCATTATCATATGCCAAACAACTTTGGTTACTTTTTCTTTCATTTATCCTAATTTCAGTTTTAATTTTTTTATACTTCCTCTTTCTGTTATCTCTTACCCTGTTGGCATAGAATAACAGCCTGAATGCTTCTCCCAGTTCCTGGTGCAGACGATTTTGTTTGAGGGGAAGAGTAGGTATTTTCTTGGTGCCTTTTGTTTTCTTGTGATTAACAGGATTGCTGTAACTTGTAAGCTATGGCAGTGTCCACATGAAGTGTTTAATCTGGAGCTGATTTAATGAAAGTCTTTATAGCATGTTTGTGCATAAATATCGAGGACAACACTTGGAAGAGGCAAATTGATAAGAGTTCAATTTCAGTTAAGCTGGGTGAAACCATACTGCTGTGATATTTGTTATGCATGAGAACAGGCTTGGATTAGGGATCTGCTCGGTCACGCAGCTTTTGAGGTATAAAACATTCTCAGGTTCATCTGTGTGTGACAGTCTTCCTCTGGAAACTATTTTGTTAAATTTAACTGTGCAAAAGTGTGGATTACGAATATGATGCACTTCACATCAGAGCAAAGGTGGCAGAATGCAGCACTGCTGTGTGGTGTCATTTGTGTTGCAAGAAAAACTGTGAAGAATGCTTTTTGGGGTGTATTTGCTATAGGAGCCATAAGAAAAAAGAAAATATTATTCAAACCAGAACTGAAGTTCAACGAAGATACTTTTTTTTCCTCAGGTAGCAATTCCTTAAGAATTAAATATGAGAGAAATTGAAGATTATTTAATGGTTCTTTGCCAGCTTGCTTGAAAGAAGTTAAATTCTCAGGCCAGTGTAGAAAAAACGCCACTTGTTATTAATGCAGATTCTTAAAAAGACTTACAGTCCTCAAACTGGACAAAGGTAGTAATTTGCAAGAGTTCTCTGGTAGTTTATGTAGATTTTAACTCACTCAGGCACAGAGTAGAGGAATTCTGCAAGAATATGCTAGTTGGAATTCAAGCCTGGGAGAACACAGCTAACTAGCAACAATGATGTATTCCATAAATGAATCATTAGTAAGGAAATTCTGGGCTAATTTGAAAGCCGTTCAGTGGAATATAGGCCTGTCCTGTCCTCCTATGAAGTCTTACATTTGTTATTCTACTAATTAGTTAGAAAGTTTGAATTGACTTCTATTAACTTTTACAGTATTTAACATTTCTGTAGTGCATGTTCTTGCTTTGTACTTATACAGTACCTGGATATTTTACGTTTCCTGTATGTACTTTGGGATAATGCATAGCAGGTGAGAAAAGTTGTATAGTCATGTTTGTCAGAGCTTAGTTTATCTTGTGCATGGCTGTAGAGTTGTGTTGTAAAGTGCCTGTGGCATGAGGTGAGAGTTGTTGCACTGTCCCAAGTAGTGAGCTGTGTAAGAACATGCTTTTCAACCATCATCAAACTTCTGTGGAAAGCACTTGTTTTGAAATGGAAATGTTTTTGTGTTAGAGCACAAGATGTAGTCTATTATGTGTTGAAATACCTCTACCATATTATTTCTAAATGCTTATTGACCTGGAATATTTTAGGGGCTTTTAAAAGTTTTCCTACTTAAAGTCCAGAACCTTTTTTTAAACGATTGTCCCCTGGAGATGCAGGGCCATCACAGGAGCTATGTTCAGATCAAACAAGCATGAACAACAATGGAGGGGTGGGAATGGAGACAGTATTTCTCATGTTTATTCATGTTTATTCTTGTTCCATGTTTTTCTTTCCCCCCCCCCCCCTTTTTTTTTTTTTTTGTAGTAATTTTAATATGCTGTGAATATTTTTAATGTGCTGTAAGAATTTGCCAGCTGCATGGGTTGTTTTGGTTGTTTTTTTGGTTTTTTTTTTTAAAAGCAAATAGGATTCTTGTAACCAAGCTGCCATCTTTTAAAGGGACTTGGTCAGTCGTGTATGACACTTGGTTTAAACTGTCGAGAACTATTTCAACACATTTATTTCTGCTTGTTTGTTTGCACTGTCATATACTTTATTAACTATGTTGATATTTTCTCTGTTTCAGGATGCAATTCGAAACCACAGTGAATCAGGTATGGCTTCCAAAAATCAAGTATTGCAATTGTGTTTTGTGTTTATTTCATGGCTTGTAACTTCTTTTTCTTCTGTTTTCAATATAAGCTTCACCCTCTGCTCTGTCTGGAAGTCCCAACAATATGAGCCCGACTGGCTGGTCTCAGCCCAAAACCCCAGTCCCAGCCCAGAGAGAGAGAGCCCCTGGGACAAATACACAAGAAAAAAACAAAATTGTAAGTATTTTCAAACCACTGTGTGTAAATAAATTCAATGTGTTAAAGTAGGATGAAATTAATGGAGTGTTGGGATAAAGATCTGTACTTGAAAGTCAATGAAAGCTGATGGAAATCTTCCTTGATTACTCTGCACTGAATATGTAACAGTGATGTAAATCTAACTTGGGAAAGACAGCAGTACTGCCTTATGATTTCAGTACCTGGAAAAGTGTTTGGATTTAAAAATTAATTTCAGGCAGAGTTCTGACATTATTTTTCAGTATAGATTCAAGGCTTACATTTCTAAATATTTAGGGGCTGCATCTTTTTATTCTTTTTAATATCTTTAACCTCCTTACTGCTTTTTGAATTGCACTGCCATGGTTTTCATAGAAAATGCATATGCCATCGTGTTGGTAACAAAGTTGGTTAAAGAGTCTTGGAAAAGTCAATTTAACAAAATGGCAACTTCTCCTCAAAGCTTTGATTTTAAACACAGAAAAAGACAAAAATAACAGTGAATAGTGTCTGGACTTTTTTTAAAGTTATTCTCTTTTTCAAAAGTACATTTGCTCAGTGGGGCTCCCAGTTGTAAATCACATGGATGTTTGAAAATTCTGCTCTCATATTTGTTTATTGTTTTCAAATATATCAGAGTTCTGTAATTTGAGCATTGTGACTTCTTAAAGCTTCTTAAATATTTAAGATATCTTCAAATAATTCAAGAATCCCCAATTACTCATTCCTCTTGTGATCTCAGATCAGAGTTTGTATCTCTAGAGCAGAATTAATGATACCTTCATAAGCGCCTAAAGCCTTACACTGAAATGTTTGGCTTTCTTGTGTGGGGAAAAAGTAGTTAGGGAAATAATGAAATAGTTTTTTTTCCTGAATGCTGTTATTAAAATAAGTACCATATGTATTTAATATTTTCTTTTGTTGCAGAGGCCTCGTGGACAAAGAGATTCTAGTTATTACTGGGAAATAGAAGCAAGTGAAGTCATGCTTTCTACCAGAATAGGGTCAGGTTCTTTTGGAACTGTTTACAAGGGCAAATGGCATGGTAAGTTCTTCACAGCTATCACCGTCTTCTCACAATGTTAGTACTGTAGAAGGACAATAATACAGGAAAAAAAAAAGGTGTTTGAATGGTGCAGCTGTGTGATTATCTACCAGCAAAAGAACTAAGTGAGAAATACGGATTTCCTAATTTTTCCATTGAGAAAATTAAGGCACAGTGCCTGTGCTGAAATCTGAACCTTACAGCTGCTAATTCTGTCTCCATCCATACGCTGAATCCAGCATCATTATCACCACGTTGTAAATTTTCACAGCATTATGTTAAATTAAGTTTACTTTCCGTTTTTTATTTTGAATACCTGTCGTTTAATTAGCATACTTGTACTCGAGGTGGCAGGGAAAGGAAGTAAGTATAAATTGTTTTAATGGTGGAGTATTTCTAATTAAAGAAATGGTTGATGTGAGAGTTAATGAGAAAAAGTTGCCGAGGACTTTGACAAGAGGCACACTGCAGGACTCCAGAATTAGGTCCAAAGTTGGGGCGTCCGGTTTTAAACAGAAGCACAACTCCCTTCAGGCCCCAATCTAAAAATGAATGTGAGTTTCTTATTAATATGTTTCACCAGAATGTTTGCAACTACTCTTCATGTATCAAGAACTTTGTTGTTTTAAAGAGGAAATGCATGGAGCTACATAGTAACAAATAACCTTTAGTTGTGCACATAAAAGGACTGTACAGCTATCACAGAATTCAGTGTAAATAGGATTCAGTAATTTAAGGTAACTGTACAGAGTTCTCCTGATTCGTGGGGAAAGCTGAGGTTAAATTGCCAAGCAATGACAGCTGCATCTGATTTTATAAACTAAATTGATGTTAGCCAAGTAATTGACACTTTTTTTTTTAATGGTACTGACTTTCTATTAAAGGAGAAATAATGGGAGAGCTTTTTGTTTTATTTGTTTTTGTTTTGTTGCCATCATTTGTAGTGTGGTCTTGAAAGATTGGAAAGGGTTTCTAGTTTTTTCTGTTTAGAACTGAAGACACGGGGAGCTCATAGTGCACAAACTAACGAATTGTACACTTTTCTTTGTAGTAAGCTGTTGTAATAGTATAAATGCAGCAACTAAAATCTCTTGGTGAAGTTGAAAGCATTGAAGTGGGGCAGATTGCTGCAAACTTAAACCGAATTTCTGGATTAGAATGGAGGTGTCAGACCTCCTAATATGCCCAGTGCTGAAGGGCTGTTTGAACCTTTGGAGAGCACCTATGAAAGGCCTGCTAGAGGATGTGTACAACTGTGTATAATCTGTATTAGGTTTCCAGTAAACTTCCTTGACTTAGCCTTCCCAAATAAAAATGAAGTGGATAGTGCCAAGGATGGTCTTGCTATGAGGAGTGCATGTCTTGCTGAATAGTCTTGCACTTCCATATTTTTCCAGATTGTTCTGATGGTTAAGTACTAATTTTAATATTTGCACCACTTCTGTTACAGACCTCATTTGGATCCTGTAGTGTCCTGTAGCATGCTTCTAAATTTAAAAGGAGGAAAGAAAACCAAGGCAGTTTAAATGGGTTGGAAGACTACCTATCATAAACACTCACATTTCCCCTTTGGCCCTGGTAATCAGCTCTAGGTTTTTGATGGTTGGGGGGTGGTGGAAGCTAATTGTCTTCAGATTGCTGCTAAACAAAACAAGTGCTATTGTTTATTTCTTTCTGTAGTGAAAACTGCTTGGAGAATGCCATTGAGCTTAAAAAGGTGTGGCACATGATTCAATAAAAACTTAAAGTTAAAAACATCTCTTCATCAGTGGAGCAAGGATCATAATGGAGGCTATATTGAAAAACAGTTTGAAAACATTTGGCTTACAGTCAGTGGATGCTGCATCCTTGTGTTGGTATAGCTCCTAGCAATATGCTTCTAATATTGACAGACCTTTTATTGGTCTTGCATTGTACATAAACAGTAGTTGCAGTAGGAACCGGCCCCTTTTAAGCCTGATTTGATCGTCATGTGAAACTGTTAGTGTTTCTGCCTCTTCTGTTGCACTGCTCTGATGTGTGAGCAGAGATCTCTTAAGTTATAAAAACAAAAAAAACCCAACATCATCAAAAACAAACAAACCACCAGACCTCTGCATACTGAAAACGTGAGATGGTTCCCTTTAGGAAGATGCTGAAGGATGAAATAGGAAGTGTGTGCATTTACTGAAGGAAAATATGAATGTATTAGAATGTGTTCAGTGTCTGTGAACTTTCTGACTTCAAATTACACAGCAAACTAAACAGCTGGTAACTACAGTGGAAGATGCTGCAGTCCCTGTCAGAGCACTTTCTCTGAATCCTTCAGTACCATTTACATCTCCTTTCCAAACATTTTTTTCAATTGAGCTGTCAGTGTTGCTAATGAAATTAGTTGATGGTACAATTCTAGAGATGTGCTAAGGTTTTTCAAGTCTGTTTTTGAAAAGAGAAGATAGTAAGAAGATGAGGTAATTGCAATAGCAGATAAATCTGTCCTTCTAGGGATTTTTATCCTAATGTAAGCGATTATTCTGTAGTGCTAAGTGGCAGCAGCCTTTATATTGTGGGATAAGCATAATTGGGAGTAGAAAGTCTCTGCATTTTCTCTTATGTGTGGACTAAGACTAAGTTTCAGTTTACTAACTCCCTTTACCTTCCTGTGGCAGCATCAGGGCAAGTTTATCCACCTGTTGTAAATATTCCAACCATCCATAGTTAATGTGAATTTGGTGTTTGCCTCTTTCACGGAGGAGTTGGTGGGTCTGGCTGTTAGTGGTTACCTTTAGAACAGTCAGCTTCACTCTACTATCGTACCTTTTATAATCTGTTCCATTCTACTGTTTTCTAGATAGGGAAGCATGGTGTAAAATTAATGACTCTTACTGTTCTCTAATTCAGGTGAATTAATTATGTGGTCCTGCAGAAGTTTATGGTCTTGGTCTGTTCACAGATTACTAGGGGCATTCTGTGCACAAAGTTGGGTTTTTATGTGTACTGTGTGGTAATATGATTTTTGGAAAGAAACTGCATTGCTACCAACTTTAACTGTAAATGTGTTTTCAGGGGATGTAGCAGTGAAAATATTAAAAGTTGTAGATCCAACCCCAGAACAGTTCCAGGCTTTCAGAAACGAAGTGGCTGTATTAAGGTGAGTTTTGCAGTTTCTTTGCTAAATTTTGTTATTTGAAGCCACAGCATTCGCCTGCAGACTAAAGTGCCTTGCTGAATAGTGTGTACTTAATAGGCAGCAAAAGCAGATCTCCAAGAAATAAAAATAAAAAAGAGCATACAGTGATACTGGTAAATACTGTTGTAGAGCTGTGAGACAGCAGTGATATTCAGTGGTTCTTCACTGAGATTTCTGGAAGTTTTTTCAGATAACTGATACTAACATCCACAATCCCTCAGGTCACGTTTGGCATATAGGAGAAAGTGAAGACCAGTAAGTCCTGTAATTCTCATGGCCGGCCAGAATACTCGAGCTGTACATCTTCTTAAGTTTGCAACATAATTCCCTTTTTTTAATCTGTTCTCTGATCCATGTATTTTGTTTTCAAATACTGGTTTTGTAATCTCCAATTAAGTAACTGTAATTTTAAAAGGGAATCCTGGAATTGAACCTATATAGAAGAATTATATATTTTGTTCCCTTACAGTTTATCATGACCCTTTGGTTTCCTCTTGGGATTCAGTCATATTTTAAGCTGTCACTTTTTCAGCTTTCAAGGTCACTTCTGTTACTCCAGTCACTTCTGTTAATGTGAGCATGACGTGGTTATTGATTTCAAAAACAATGAATTCATTTTGCGAGATTTTTTTTGTTCACTTTTGCAAGCTGAAATATGTCCCTTCAGACAAGAAGAACGTTTTTAAAAGAACACGAAAACATTTTAATAAAGATGCTAATTTCTTTTTCTGCTACTTCTATTAGGAAGACTCGGCATGTGAATATTTTGCTCTTCATGGGCTACATGACTAAAGATAACCTGGCCATTGTCACACAGTGGTGTGAAGGCAGCAGTCTGTATAAACACCTGCACGTTCAAGAGACCAAGTTCCAGATGTTCCAGCTTATTGACATTGCTCGGCAGACAGCACAGGGAATGGAGTGAGTAGGATAAGCAGCAGTGTCTGTGCCTGTTTTATCTGTTGGAATGATGTTCCCTTTTTCTTCCCCAAGCCCTGGTATGTGCTACTGCTGTAACACTGCAGTAGGTTGAACTGGTATGCTGAGTCAGGAGCTCATGTCTGAGTACAGATGCTGTGAATGATGTCTGGGGATGAATCTGCCTAATACTTCAGAACCTCTTAAACACTATTTAAGTCTTTGCCACATAGGTCTGTATCTCAGTATCTGATCCATGTTAAAGGACTTGTTAAAGACTGCAATGTTAAGCTCTCAAGTGACAAAGATTGTAACATCTTTAATTAAGCACTTAGGTTCTTTTTGTATTTTTCCTGTATGGAATCCTGTCTTAATTAATGCTAGACCACTAGTCATGTGGTAAACTGATATCAGAAGGCTAAATTTGTATGAACAGTATTCATTTATGTCACTTTTCTGCTGCTTCTTTCACAGCTATTTACACGCAAAGAACATCATCCATAGGGACATGAAATCCAATAGTATCCTTTCCTAATTTCATCTCACTGTGACATGAGAGTGATTTGTTGTTAACTTGGAGCTTTTTCTGGGAGAGGGTGGGGGCTGTGTGTGAAGTAGCTGTTTTAAATGCACGTAACAAAAATGAGTAATTTCTTGTGATGAGTACAAAGTTACTTTTAGCAAGGTCTTTCATAGAAGGTATAGCTTTCTTAACAAGTGACTTTCTTAACAGGTGACAAAAGGAGAAGCAGCATTCTTCAAGTGGGACTTATTTTAATTGAATAGTATCAATAGTGGTGTTATGATATGATGTCTCTATTATCTAGATAGTGTGTTGGAGAGAAGCTTTCTGTTGGATGAGGGATATGTGTGTATGTCCTGTACTGTATCCCGTATATTTTTAATAAATTTAAAACATCCTCAGAGGACAGGCACAAATAAAGCCAGAAATCTTAATTTAAACTTGAGAAGAAGGAACATTCAGTAGATAGATTGCATACCTGCATTTTTGTTAACTCTGTACGGATGCCATAAAATTACTTTTTCTCTAAGATACAACTTGTAGCAGGTAAGACAAACAAAACAAAAAACCAAAGCCAGCAATATTCTTGGATAGTTCTTGGATTTCTGATAACCCTCACCAGACACTTTGTAATCATGTCAGAAAATTCAGAATTGTTCATTCAAGTTTTCTATAGAATTTCTTTAACAACTGTTTAGATATATTTCTTCATGAAGGCCTCACAGTGAAAATAGGAGACTTTGGTCTAGCAACTGTAAAATCCAGGTGGAGTGGATCGCAACAGGTGGAGCAACCCACTGGTTCCATTTTGTGGATGGTGAGCAAAGTATTTTGCTGCTGTGTTAATAGTTTGCTTTCACTCTGTTAATACAAGTTTTGTTGGTTGAATGCAGTAATTCTGACAGATCCTTACATCTAAATGACAACCTATGTTGTTAGCACTATGCAGACATTTATTCCAATTACAGGATAAGTTAAAATTTAAAGTGCTGGAGTGTCTAACTGCCCAACAGTAGGCACTTTTCAGCAGTGTTTCCTCCTGAGTTTTTGGAGTTCTAAACATACGAGGCAAAGGCTGACAAGGGCTGTCAATAGCACTGCGAGGAACTGTTCCAAGGGGAGAGCCTTTTTCCTGTAGTCATCCCACCTCTCCCCAGAAGGACTCTTCTCAACTGGAGAGCAAGCAATGGCCTTGAATCTGCTTAATGAGCTTTGTGGAATGGGTGAACCCTGTCTTTGTTGGCTGTCTTCTTTTTTGTCTCTTCTTCCTCTGCTCCCTGCTGAGGACCTGGCAGCATCTCTTTTTATGCATGCTTGCTGATCTGGCATTCAGCAGCTTTATCAGTGGATGGGAAAGTGTGCAGAGCTCTCCTTGAAGCATGGGAGTGAGCACAAGTCTTGACGTGTACCAAGCTGTGGTTGTTAGCACCGCTGCTGTCCTCTACCTTGTGGCTGATCATTGCAGTAAGCTTTGAGGCAACTCAGTTGTTGCAGATCAGTGTCAGTTTATGTATGGAATTCCTCAAGTAATACAGGAAATTTTCTGAGGGTTCTCTGAAGTGTTGTTATAGGCATATCTACATATATACTAAATGTGCGTTTACTTTTTTAGTAAGATGTAGAATAGCACTGACAGGACTTCTCCAGTGCCTTAGAGGAGGTCCTGAGGTTTCCATCCTTTGTTCACTGATTACTGATTGACTCCTCTTGGCCTCCCATTTTCCCATTCACTTGTCTTTTCTGTTTCTTAGCTTGTTAATACCACTTTTCACTAATTGCTTTTCTCCTTCTAAAGGCACCAGAAGTGATACGGATGCAGGACAGTAATCCGTTCAGTTTTCAGTCAGATGTCTACTCCTATGGAATAGTATTGTATGAGCTTATGACAGGAGAGCTGCCATACTCCCACATAAACAACCGCGACCAGGTAAGAAGCGGTTGCTCAATGCTGCATGTTGCTTCTGGTGTGCTGCATTTTCCTCAAGAAGCGTAGGACAGATGCAAAACAAGAACTGGAATGCTGTTTACAGTATTGTTTGTTTCAGCAGTAAATGTGTGCAGTAGAATATTTTCTTAAATACTGGCAGTAACTCAAGGAAAGCACGTCCTGCTGATGTGCTTAGTTACATCAGTGAAGGAAATTTGTATGTAGGAAAAATTTCCTTCTGAAGTTAAATGTCTGTTCATAAATCAGTAAAGTTAGGTTCATGCTTTTTACTAAGCAAAAAAAGAAGTGGCTATTTATGATCAAATCTTTCAGTATTAAATGTTATGCAGAGTTACTTCATTATTGAAAGCCTTCTTCTGTAGAGCACGAACATAAACTGTTACAGCTTTTTGATTGCTGCTTTGTTGCATTCTGCTTTTTGCTTTGATTGAATTATGAGCAGTGCCATGTGTCTGCATGGGGAGAAACCATTATTTTTGCCTCTGTTGTGTTTTATAGTCTGTGCTGGACTAAAACAGAAAATGTTTTCCATCGCTAATAATATCACTTAGTGTTTGCCTTAACCCCTTTTCCTTTATGCTACAGTAGTTACATTAGTCATGATCACTTTCAACGCGCTGTAAATCTGCTTTGGCAGATGTATTTACTGAGATACCTGAAAATACAGTTCTGCTGAGCAGTAACACTATCATGCCAAACCTTGATAGTGTATGGCTTGAGCTTGTAAGTGCTCAAATTGAGGATCATTTGTCACTTGTAATCTTCAATTGAAGGAAATTGCCATGTCACATAGTATGTCCTGTTCTTTTCTGACTGTAATAATGCCTTTGCATCTCGGGAGTATTATAAACCACAGCGTCACTCTGATTTAATTATGTTCTGTGTTACACAAAAGCAAGGCCATTGTTTCAGTTAACTGATTTGGACTTATGTACAAGGCCCTGCTGGTGTGCTTGGCTTTGGCACTCACGTTTAATGACTTTGGGACATCAGAGCTTTGAATGAGCAAAGCAGCTTCTTTGGCTTCAGTTCTCTGCTACCTACTGGCTGTTCTTTTTTTAGATTATTTTCATGGTTGGCCGAGGATATGCTTCTCCAGACCTCAGCAAGTTGTACAAGAACTGCCCCAAAGCAATGAAGAGGCTCGTAGCAGATTGTTTGAAGAAAGTTAGGGAAGAAAGACCTTTGTTTCCGCAAGTAAGTGGCTTTTCTCAGCATGTAACAGCTCCTAAGTATTGTATAAATAGCCATTACCACAGAGCACCATAGGTGGATAAAAGCACACGTTTAGAAACTGGAAGTAGATGCAGGAATGAAGAGTAGCATGCTTCCTGGTTCTGTTTAGTCACACGTGCACCTTTAATAACCCAGCTCCCTTGTGCAGTTTCTAATACTGATATACAGGATTTAGGTACAAAAAAGTTAAAAATAATACCCAGCCTCATTGAAGCAGTGTTGAACACCATATTGCTCTAACATCAGAGCACTTTGCTGTAAGGACAATTCCTTATTTTTTTCCCCCCATCTTTGTACAAGCAAACAAAATTCACAAGGGGGATTTAAATTCCTATAGCAAGTTTTGGTCTTGTTTTACAAAGGATACTTGACCTTTTCCTGTCACTGTGAGGATAATGCAGGCACTTCCTGGTACTGGTTAAAATATCTGGAATTGAGTTGCAGCACTTCTTAAAACGATGTTACTTGTTAAACAACGAAAGTTGTACTTGGCTTCTTTCTAAATTCCAACAGTTAGGAAGAGGATGCTATTCTTTCCCTGTTACACTGTTGGAGAGTGCATAGATGCTTGCCTCTTGGTTGCTATATTGATGAACTGTTAATGGAGAAGTATCTGCCTGTCCCCTGAAACTCAGTGAGTGTCCTCACAGCAATGAAACTCTGTGGCAGAGTTGGATTCTTTAAACTGGAACATTCCTTGAGTATTGTTTTCAGTATCTCCACGTAGTATATTGTAATGGATACTGGTAAAGCCCTAAGAAATGAAGGTTTAAGACTTACTTGAAAAGAAATGTGGCTCTTTGTAACACGTCACCTTTCCATTTTATGTGCCTTCTTCTCAGATACTGTCTTCCATTGAATTGCTGCAACATTCTTTACCCAAGATCAACCGGAGTGCTTCCGAACCATCTCTGCACCGCGCATCCCATACAGAGGACATAAATTCTTGCACGTTAACATCCACAAGACTGCCTGTTTTTTAGGATTGTGCTCCCCTTCCCTTAATCTCTCCAGTGATGGGAAAGGAACAGAAGTAACAGAAGTTGTGCTTTTAATGCCTCGGTGTACAGGATCAGTGACCAGCCGGATCATCCGCATCCCCGTTTAAGAACAAGCTGCTAAGGATGTTTGCAGTTCTTACCCTGCAGGGACAAAGCTCCACATTGCCTTTTTCTACAGTTTCTTCTACTGGGATAGTTAACAGACTACAAATCAAGAGATCTATTACTATTTTTTTAATAGATGCACTTGAGCCTTATTTTTCCCACACACAGAAGAGATGGATGTTTCTTTGGCAGTGTTTCTGGGTTGATTTGAATCTGCTGATAAACTGGTATTTTTTACAGCAGGGATGACCTGCCTTGGCATTTGAGGGAAGAAAGATGATGTGATCTGGTGCTCTCTGATTGCCCCGTGTCACGTCAGGGGACTTTTGCTGGAAATGGGTATCTGCAAACAAGACTGAGGGAAGAAGAAAAAAACTTTCTGGAAATCAGCTCCTGCCTAAGAGGTTTCATCAAGCCAATGAAATAAGTTAAAATGCTAATTCAACACAAAATAGTTTTGCAATAGTTTTGCACGTAGAAAAAAAACTCTTGCAAAGGAATGGAGTATATTCTAAACTGTACTGCTCAGAGAAGGAAGCTAGCCAGTCTTGCTATGGTCATCTTCGGTAACTTAAGCGGCTTATTTTGGTACTACGGACTTGTTTCTTGCAGCCCAATGAGGTGGAAAGTGCAGAAAGACAGGCTTTTGTGGCTGATAAAGGCTAATTAACAGTATCAGTATACTTCTGCAGAATGAGCATAGTTTTCATCCCATCTGAAGCTGTCGTCCAAGAGATGCACTATCAAGAGGAAACTGAGCATATACAGTTTTTCTTGCTGATTTGGGTTTTAATTTTGTTTTTATTGCTCCTGAGAAAATGCATTTATTGTAAGCCAAGGTTCCTCTGATTATCTTATTTTAATAAAATAAATTAAATTTTAGGTTTAAGATTCAATATCATCATTTAATGTAGTAATTCATATTTTGACACACACATTTACATCTAAAAAGTTCAGGAAATAACATTCTGAATAATTTTTAGGATAAATATTAACTGTACCAGTAAAAATATAAAATACTAGATGTGACAACCTATCAGTTTCCATTCACTTTACTTACAGACTGGTTTTCATGATACATACACTGATAAACCATCAGGTGAGTTACCTGCACCACTTCTCTGCATTGTATCTTCTGGGAGCCTGTGTTTTTTCCCTTAGGTATTTCCCTTAGGTGTTTTGGTCAAATCAGGCAGCAGGTGACCAGAAATAGGTGGTCTGATCTAAGAATTACTTTTTGAAATAGTATTCTGTTCAGGTAGAGGAGAATTTAAAATACATAAGCCAGGAATGTACTGGTTAAGTAGCTTGACTGTCCTTAGACCATCACCCAGGGATTAGGATTCCACCCTTATAACTGAGCATTACCATAAAATGTGCATTTGGCAGTGATGGAAACAGTGCTGTATACAGATCAGCATGCTTTTCAATAGTGTTCTTGTTATTTTAATTGCAGCCCTTTCTCTCTCATTTTATCTTCATTTTAATTAGTGTTGCAAAAGAAGGAAGCATGAAAAAAGGGAGATGGTGGAGTCACAGTCCCTGGAGGTGTTCAACAAAGAGGCAATGTGGCACTGCAGGACGGGGTTAGGGGGCAGCAGTGGTCTGTTCCAACCTTCATGGTGCTATGATTCTATGAAAGGTTGCTCTTAGTTTAGCACTGAACCCCCAGAAGGAACCTAATTGTTCCTTCTTATTTAATACAGGTTCTCTCTCTCTGGAAAACTTTTTTTTAAATAAAAGGAGGATTATTTTGATTAGTATTTGATGTCAACCTAGAGTTTGAAAGCTGTAAAATGAAGAATGTAGAAGGTCCGAGTCTGTCTTACTGCTTGCACATTAAAACTTCTCTTCATGTAATTGCTAGGCAGCATTGAAAAACAAGTTACCTTACCTTTTGTACATCAGATTCTTGTTTCCTGCTTGGTTTTCTTTGAGCAAAGTAACAGGAATGCCCTGTCTAAGGAGCAGAATATTCTCTCCACTTACTATTTTTTAATGTATTTCATTGCTGAAAATATTTATCTGAAAAAAGTGTTGGAACAGCTAAAAAAAGCTTCAGTGGGGAGGCTAAGGGGTGTAAGTAGGTATTTTTTAGTAGAAAGTATGCAAGAAAGAGCGCTCATCTTACAGAACTGCATCTCTCAGCTGTACTTACCTTCCTTCACCTTTTTTAATGAGTGATGAGGAGTTGCACTGCAATATCATTTACTAGATTAAGCCCATCACTTGTGCCTCCAAATGCCAGTTTTAAAAAGAAGTTGAGCAGTAAGTGGTGACAGATATTTACAAGCTAAGGACTGACTTTAGAGTAAGCATTGTTAAAACTTGATTTTAGTGTTGAAATAATCATGAAAACATCACTACATTTCCTAGATCACAACCGAGAGCAAAATTTGCACATTCACTCTTGGGAAGCTGTTACGCAGCAGAGATGGAAGTTGCCTAAAAAAACCAGAGGGACAAGGGGCGTTTTACACAAATGCCTCTAAATGCACTTTGCTGCATCACAATTTTTGCCATCTCAATGATCAAGCTTTCTCAAATGCCTGAGTCTTGAAACAGGTGAGCAGCCTTACAGTGACAGCAGTGTGTTCATAAGGGTAGCAGAAATACCGGCCCTGTGCTTGACTTTCAAGATTGCATGTTGCACTTGCATGGAAAAAAATCTTTGCTTGCACTGAAATACCCAGTGGCTGGTTCAGTTGGCTCTAGACCAAACTTTAACTGCAGAGTTGATACAAATGACTCAGCAGAAATAACTTCTTACAAACTGCACATTCCTACCATGAATTGCTTTTGCTACAAGTATATTTAAAAGAGAACTTAAAATGATTCTCAAAGCTTCGGCAGCTCAAACATGAATTAAAATTTAAAGAAAGAATCCACTAACATTTGACTCAGAAGATGTGCTTTAATACCTGACCTCCTTGACCTTGACCAATGCTTCCTTCTGATGAGAGCAAGGAGCAGGTAGGCAGCTGGAACTTCACCTGCCCTTTAAATGACATAACTGCCAGCTGGGGCTATGAGGTACCTGAAAGTAGGGCTGTCCTGGGAATACATGGCAGAAGGATGTGACTCGGTATGCTAGAAATACATGGCAGTGGAAAAGCCCTAAGTATCTGCTGCCCCCACAGGTCAGGTAAGCAGTGGTCAGTGTTTCTTTTTTGACTGAAATGATTTAACATGGTACAGATGCAAACTGTAAGATCACTGATAGAGGTTATTTAGACAGAATGTTAGTTACCTCATTTAATTTTTGCTTCATTTAACCCGAATGAAGGTTTCCCTTTTAATTAAATACCTGTACAAAAAATTATCTATTACCATTTCAATTAATATTGAAAGTTACTGACTTCTTACGCAGTGTCCAGTACCAACTTGTGCTGCAAGTATCGTTTACCTGTGCATTTTGACTCCAGCACTGGAACTACAGCTCTGCCTGGAGGTAACAAATTGCATGTGCTTTACAGCAGGTGCTGTAGGAAACCAGGAGACCTTTCCTGCAACCATGCACTTAATTATTTTAGAACAGTGGAGGGATCCTGATTTGTGCTGTCTCTGACAGCCTGGCAGTGCCCATTACTGAAGCACTCACTGTAAGAATACACTGAGCATTACTCAGAACTCTAGATACTTGGTATTTTTTTTAAGAAAGGAAAAGCTACACGGATCATTATTCCTAGTGTGTTTCTGCAGATATACATTTAGTTCATTTAGGGGGAAATAAGCACCCTCAGATACAGCAACAGTTTTTAACACCTTATGCTTTAAAAGGCAAGAGAGCAGCTGCATGTAACACGACCATTCAATTTACAAGACAGCGTATGTTAGGCCAACGAGGAAGGGAACCCTCTTGGGATCAAGGGATTTTTTTCCATGCAATCAATTTAACTTTCTAAATATAATTTAGTACTTTTGTTGCCATACACCAACTATCTGAAAACTTCACCAGGACTGCACAAGTAGGACCACAGGGCACATTCAGTCATTCCAGCTGTGCTGTAAGAAGTAAAACCACTGCTAAATAAATAGCTAGATTGCTACAGAAGAAAGCACATTCGCTTGCCTTTATTGAGAAGTAGCAGAATCCTCCTCAGCCCCAGAAAGGTGCATGAAAAGTTCTCCAAGTTCTGTTACTTGATCATCTGTGCTGGTCACAGTCCTACTTTCTCTGTCTTCAATAAAGTCCCACAGACGAACAGAATTGAAGAACTGCAACAGAAGAAAATCTGATTTAGCTTGGCACAGGCCAATCAGAAGATTTTTCCCCTTATCAGTCATCTTTCTTCATTTAATAAAAAAGTTGAGACTGAGAAATTGGTATTTATTAATAGTATCAGCAATATTTGCTGAGAAAGTGACAACCACTCCATTGTCAGAACATAAGTAATAGTTCATGTCTAACTGGGCAGTAGTGAGGAGCTGTATCAGTACTGCTAAACTAGAAGGCCTGTCTCACCCATTCCAGATGCTAGATGAAGCTACAATGAGACTTTGAGAAGGCTTTTACCATTTTAGCTGTGAATAGGACCAGCTAGGTCTAGGCAAGCAATACTCATTTTTAATACCACTGTAAGTAGAAGCTTTAACTGTAGCATCTCCTTGAAAAAAGATCTGCAATGAGAAGCACTGGTAAAAAAAAAAAAAGATGAAATCTTGCTATTAAATGAAAGGTGCCTTCTCTTCCAAACAAACCTCTGCCTCAAGGAAAGCTGAGGGATACTTAACTTTTCTGAGGCCATCCATTGTATGAAAGTACTTTAAGTAGTGCACTTTACATTCAAGAAGTGTTTTCAATTACAACTGACTGGAATATTTCCTTACCCGCACGGTTCCCTCAGAGCTGAGCTGTTTCCTTGGTTTCTCAGGTTCAGCTCGTGTCCCATCTGGATAGGCATGAAGGTAAAGACACTTCCCTCCAAATGGACAAGTTCCTTTCCCTTGTTCAAAGTATTTGCAGGGCTTTTTCCTAATTCAATGAGAAAAAAGTTGCTGCCTTCAGCTAGTGAGGAAGCAGATCACTTTGTACCATTACCACTGCAGCTGCTAGTACCATTAACGTACCAAGAGTTCTGATCTCCTACTCCTTAACTGGTAACAGTTAAAATAGATTGGAAAGAAATCTAGGAGAGGACAAAGAAATACATAAAAGAGCACCATCATAAGTTCAAAAGAACACAATCTTAAGACACTGAAATTGAATGATGTTGAAAGAATGCCACCTATCCAGCACAGTGCATTTCTATCACAGGGAACAAACCCACTATTTTTGTAGCATTCCTCCCCAGTGCACTGATCACTTTGTTTTTATGAATGAGCTGAGTTCCTCTCATTGTTATCTTTGCAAGTCCTGTGGTAACAATTCTATCATTAAGTTTTCAGCAGCTTTGCTGTTCTACGAAGTTGCTGGAGCTGTGTAACCACCTTCTAGAAAGGTTATTGGGGAGGGGTGGTGCGACGGGTTGTTCTCCAATGAGAAGTATCTGGAGGAAACTACAGACAAATTGCAATTGAACTTGTGAACAATGTGCAAACAGCAATGAAACTGATCCCTATAACCTAAACAAAGCCTATAAAATAACTAATACATGGAGAAGAAACCACTACAAAAGAAAGAAAGAAAGACTACTCCAGAGCAGGCAGTGCATTCAAAAGTGGAACTGATCTGTCTTGGAAACCTGGAAGTCACAGAGCACTTGTGTTCTAACCTAAGTCAGTCAGGATTTTTCCTCCTGCAGAATGGATTTGTACCGTGAGAACCCCTGCTCTTAGACTTCCCTTAAACAAAAATATTATTGGCATTTTTTCTATGAATAACACATCCAAACTAACTGCTATGAGATCATAAAACCCTCCATACAGAAATTATAACGTGTTAGTCTTAGCTGAGCACATAAAGCAAAAACCCTTTTTGTATTCTCAAAATACAAAACCAAAAGCCAAAACCCAACTTGTAGTAACACTACCTGACACCACTTTTCCAACAAAACAAGTCTACTTACGTAGAACGTAGTCATTTACAAATCACTCAGCCAAGAATTTTAGCACAACTTATTATCCTCAATACAAACTCCTTTAGAATTAAAATATAAAACCACAATGGCAACACGGTATTGAAAACAAACAGTATCTGAAGCTCCTCAGCTGCCCAAAGAGGCTGTGGAGTCTCCCACTGAAGATATTCAAAACCCATCTGGAAGTCTACCCATCTACCTGTGCAACCTGCAGTAGGGAGCCTGCTTAAGCAGGGGGTTGGACAGATGATCTCCAAAGATCCCTTCCATCCCCCACAACTGTGTGATTCTGTGATTTTATTCAACTACTTTGTCTGACAATGAATATAAAGCAATAATAATACAAAGCTGGCTTGAACATTTAATGGAGTACTACTGCTTTCAGCAATTCTGCTGCTAAGTTGTAAGACAAACCCCCCCCAAGAAGCTCAAGAGCTGGTAGGACAGCTATGCACAGATTCAAGTAATACCTTCACAGACTCCATAAGGCAAGTTTTAAAAGTTGGTGTATGTCACAGTTAATCTGTGCACCATTTCACAGAACAGTCATGTGTTGTGACAAAGTGACCCTCAGGTTCTCCAGACAAGCACAGCTTTGCAAAGCTGCTGTAACACAATGCTTTTGCAGACCTCCCCAGTGCTCCAATCACCAGACAAATCTTTATCAGATAATAAAGGGATTGCAGTGATGCAGTATTTTACATTTCCAGTAGCTGTTACAAAAAACCTGTGAATTTGTATCCCATATTTCAAGATGCTATTGTAAAAATTAAGTTTTCCTTCCTCATTTGTTTTCCCCAGTGTGTGACGACCTTCCAGGCAGTTACGTCCAACAGAAGGCACGTGTCTCTCTAGCTTTGGCAGGTGAACTGAAATAGCCTCAACATTTCCGAACATGAGTTCAAGTACCTTCTGAACTATAATTACAACAGACTGATAGCAGTCACAAAGTTCAGCTAATAAAGAATGGTGTGCTGTTACGAGTGATTAAGAGTTATGTGTAGAACGGATTGCAAAAGGTTTAAAAATAGAGGCATTTTGATTAAGCCTTGGTGAATCTCAAGGACAACGTAAGTAGCATTTTGGCTGATGATCTTACCCCACTCCCTGCTTAAATGCTTCAATCAGCTCATTTTTTTTCTCCTGGTCTTCTACCCAATACGCGCTGGGAATGACGAACTCCGATATCACACGGCACTCTGGGCAAGACCTGAATGGATCAAGACAAAGAAGCAGAGCTTTATTACTTTCTGAAACCAATTCTCAGTGTATCAGCCCGAAACTGCAGGTTCCTGAGCAAAAGGGAGACGGTCTGCCAGGGTGATGCACCGGACAACTTCACAGCACATATGGGCACGACTGTTACCAGCTTCTGCTGAAATAATCCAGCTGACTCATAGAATGACTTGGGTTGGAAGGGACCTCAGAGATCATTTAGTTCCAACCCACTGCCACAGGCAGGGTTGCCAAATGCAGTAAGCCTTGTGCTGCTTTGCACTTATTTCAGGATTTGAACAAAATAAATAGACATTTCCTGAAGAAATGTGGCTAAAGATCCAGTGCACAGAAATAAAGTACCTGCCAAGCAAGTACTTCAGCTCACAAACAAAAGAAAGCCAAACCAGATGCATGACAACAAGGATTTTCCCTAAGCCTGACCTGCACTCTGCCAGAACTGAGGAGTTGTTAACTTAGTGGTTTTATAAGATAGATTTCTTTATTAGGATTTAAGATCAAGAATCAAATATGCACCTTCTGGTGCCTCGAGAAGCATTACTACTCCTGCCATGCAAGTCTCACAGAACACCTGGTGTCTCTGCAGGCAGTGCTTTTCAAACTGATCCAAGCCCCTCTTTTAGAGAACCTTTGCAAAGACCAGTACACTCACTATTATGAGTAAATACAGAAAATACGTTTGAGGAATTTGCTTTAGTATCTACTCCACCACAAACGTGGTTCCAGAGCACTATTATGTATGAAAGCCGCAGTCCCTGCTGTAGGCACAGTATCTCAGTGCCTGTCTGTCAGAAGCTTTGCTCCAACAGAGCTTACACTGCACTGAGATAACTTTCACTTCAAGGCAACTATTAAGGGAAGTTTTGCAAAAGAGTTTACTTTGGCAGAGGAATGAAAATATTTCCTACCTCTTCCTCAGTGTGCTTGTAACTTGGAAGAGCTTTCAAAGAGATTCTAAAAAAGGAAACTGCCCTAATTGGTTGTTTAAAATTCTTTCTAAGGAGGAGTATGTTTGGAATACACTTTATACACATCTAGAAGACAAAGGAATTTACTCAGATACAGATGTGCAATTAATGGGAGATCTAGCTTTAGTAAGCTATAGTTTACAAAAAAATGCAGTAATTAAGCACACACATAGAAAGGAAAGAGTAACTGATTGTGCAAATGAGCTCCCATGAGTGAAGCAGGGGCATGAGTTAACTCAGTATTCTGCAGTCCACATTTGCACTTTGCTCCATTGTCAATGCAATGACAGAGGCTTAAGTTACAAAGGGCCAACATGCTGGACTCAGCACATAGGCACTGTTAACAAAGGATAGCTGATGCATCATACCTGGCCTTGAAGGTAATACTGTGCACATTTGTAGCACTTGGACCAAGATTTTCTGAGCTGGTATTTTACTAATGGCTGTGCTAATATTTACAGCTACCAGATCTCTTATGACCACATGTATTTCTCTATCAAGTCAAAGTACAGCAGAATGCCCACCCCACTGACACAGGTCACAAAGACAACGGGCTGGTTAACGTGAACTTACTTTATGATTGGATTCTCAAACTGCTTGGCACACCTCCACTGCCGGATGCAGGACAAACAGTACGTGTGATTGCAGTTGGAGAGGATCCCAAACCTCCTCTCTGAGGCTGATGGCTTTTCATACACCACTTCCATGCAGATGCTGCACACTTTGTCCTGACTTGCCTGAAAGGCAAAAGCCTTCTCCATCTCATGCTCAAACGTTGCCATGCACATCTGTCACAGGAGAGATATCATTGGTTATTGTACTTTATATGTTGGACCATTCTTCGTAAAACCAAAGTGTCTGACATGGACCTGTTACAGGAAAAACACGGTAGGCTAATTAAGAGCATCCCTACTATCCTTCATCATAATTATCATCATATAATTGTAAGACCTTTAAGGATGATCACATAATTCCACCCTCTCATGTTCCCTGCAGCTTTGTAGGTATCAAAGGAAGGGCTGCCTAAACACTTAATTTACACCTGCCTGCATCTGTACCAGAACAGCAGTTAGGCAAGGCAGTGCTTCAAATATCCCCAAGTCCCATCTAATTCAGAGTCCAGGATGGATGCTGCACTCACGATGTTACTCTGTTTATCGTTAAGGCCTCAGTCACCAGGCACTAAGCTTTATCCTAGGTAAGGAATTGGTGTCTTACTATGGGCTTCCTACAGCATTTCTCACACCGTACTCAGTGATGTATCATTTGCTTTTACAGCATTACAAGCTGAGCCTTTGGTTATTCCCCATAGCTTTACCTCTTCTTTCTGACGTTCTCGGGACTTGACAAGTTATACATATCTAGCAGACTTTAAATAATAATAATTTTTAAAAGACCAGAGAGTAATTCCACATTAACAGCAGCACTTTCACTACTGCACCTTTCCATCCAACAGACATCTCTGCCTCCAGAGCTGAGCACCTGGCTGCAGTGGTAACAGCACACTATGCCAGACGTCAGACTCCTCGGACAAGAGAACCACATGGCATGTTTGGAGCTACGTGCTGAGATCACATAACATGAGATTCTGGTAATCTGGATTCCACTCCTGGCACTGGAGACACTTCTGATCCAGTAACCACTAAAGCTTCTGGTCACTCTCCTCCTCAGCCTCGAAAACTGCTGTTCCTGACCAGCCCTGACACAAACCCAATGGCCAAGCATACTGAAGAGCAGCCTCGTACAGCCACCTTTACCCAAGCAATTCCTCATCCACTTTCCCTAGCCTTCCTAGTTAGAGATCACCTCCAAAATCTTCACACTCTGCTCAGGGTGTCCTCATCTTACACTGCCCTGGAAGTGGCCACACATAAGCAGGGAAGCAGTGACCCAGCAGACAGGCAGAGGAATTACTCTGAACTCACCACAGGCTATGGTCCCTCTCCCCCATCACACACAAGGGACCACTACAACCTCCTGTCAGCTACAAAAGACATCTTCCTAAAAGAGTTCTAGGGTACCTGGGGACAAGGCAAGTTTCCCATAAGAAAGGGGAAAGAAAAAAAAAGAAAAAAAAAAAAGGAAATCACTGTAAAATGCTGTCAGCATCAATGTTACCACTGAGGTCCTGGATGTCTGTCATCCTACAGACAGATAAACCACAGGCTATTCCACAAAACACACCTTTGGATTTTTAAAAACAAACAAACCAAATGTAGCACTAAGCATACACATCTCATACAGATTTCATGTTAACATTACCATCTCATGAGCCTTCCTCTGTTCTTGGTCAAAAGGGTGAAGCACTTGCAGCCCACATATTTCACACACGTCCCCATGCAGGTAAAGGCAGCGGTCCCCGAAGTGGCACGCTCCTGCTGCAGCATAAGGACACAGCTGCTCTCCATCACCAAAGGAACTTCCAGCTACTGGATCTTCCAGCCCACTGCAAATAGCTTCCAAATATGAATGGGGCTTCATTTCCACATTATCGTTTTTGTCACTGCAACACACCACATCATTCGTTGCACTGGCTTTTTCCTTCTCTTCATTCAAGCCACACAGGTCTTAAGAAAGAAAAATGTAATATTAACAATTCAACATACAGCACAAAGCCTACATAAGAAGCTCCCTATATTTTCTTTCCAATGACTGCAGTTTTTTGCTTTAAAAATGTCTTCTAAATAAAATCTCAGCCTTAAGCCTCTTTCAATCCTACATTACAATTCTCACAAACCACTTGTTGAAAAGATCAGTTTCAAGGTCTCTTCTTCAGCTGCTCTCTGTTTTACAAACACGGTAAAAAAAAATACTTCACACAGCACACGGGTATAACTGGCCCACTCAGCGTGACAGAGAGAATCTGTTGGAACAGCACCAGCAACAGGGCTCAGCTGCTCTGCCCTGCGGCCTCAGGCAGAGGGATGGATGTCTCTGTGCTTGTGCTTCTGAGCACTGCCACCATCCTCCACTCAGCAACCATTTCAAATGCCCTCTCATTGAGAGCAAAATGCACGAAAAGATCTGATGGGTAGGGATACCAAACAAGAAACCCATCCCTAACCAAAAACATCTTTCAGGACACACCAGGTTAAAAGCCAGTCAGTTAAACACTGTCATTAAAAGGTACCAATAGGCACAAGTGTTTAGAGGAAAGGGGCCTCACAAGATAAGGAAGATCTCCAGCACCTCTTTCCCACTGTCCTTGAAACTGAAGTTAAAAAAAAATGTGAAAAACGACCCAACTCCTATCAGAACCAGAGGACAACATCAAGGATAAGCACAGCAGCCTCCTACTCACTTCTGTCCCTGAGAACAAGTGTTTTCTTCTCCCGTTTGCCACTCTCACGCAGCTTGCTCTTGGTTGCAGGTGCACTGTGCTCTGGTGCAGGGCGAGGGCTGAGCAGCGCTGCTGATGCCATGGGAGGAGGCACAGGAGCTGCTGCACCCCCCGAGGCAGGGAGCCTGATGTGGTCATACCTGTGACAAATAGAGTCTCTTTCAGTCTCTTTCAAAGCCAGACTGAAAGTCTTCTCAGCCTCAGCAAATGGATGCCTCTGAAAGCACATCAAGATTTTTTTGCTAATTCTCTAGGGAGGCCCACCACAGCTGAAAGACCATCATTCACATACACGTTAGATCAGGTCTTTGTCATCCTCACACAAAGAGCTTTGCTGACATTTTTCTGAGAAGCCAAATTAAAAAGACACGCAATAAGGACTGATGTGATCTCATTCTCCCTGTCCAAGCAGGACACGGAACTTCCTGCTCCATACTATCGTGATGTCATGTTTACACACAGGACAGAAAAGGTTATGAGTGACTATGGAAACATGCTCTCAGCAGCAGAACAGAAGCAGGCAGTACAGTACAGAGGTTTCTCTAGTAAAGCCATAGACATCACCAGCTCATATGCATCCAGGGCCCTCCACTGTTCCAACGCTGCTGGAGCAGCAGATTAACACTCTGCAGCTGCCATCAGTGGCTCCATACAATGCTAATTCCATCTGAGCAGCTTATGAGCTGCAGAGCTCACTGAAATGCAGCTGGATGCAGGTCTGATACCACTGGCAAAACCCAGGGAAGGAACACAATGCAGCAACTGAAGCCACACGACACCCTGACATCTCTGGCTGCTGGTGAGTGCAGACACAGGATTCCGTATGCCAGCAGCATGGCTCTGGGAAGAAGCCCCAGCTCTGCAGCACACTGCTGACGGCACAGAACATTCCCTAGCACACAGCAGTTACCAGAGCACCAGAGTTTTAACCCAAACACTGCAGCAAAAGACACAGAAACACTGCCCACAAAGCTGAGGGGAGCACAAAGAAAACCCTCTTCACTTTAAGGCAGAACCACAAGTCCTCCAATCTCAGCACTGGAACACAGCTGTGAGGTGCACCCTGCAAAGCAGCACTGCCCAGCACTGCAGGGTCACTGCCGTGCTTTGTGCCCACAGCCAGCCTCGCGGCCTTGGCGCTGCCTCCTGAGAAGCCGCACAGCCGGCGTTCTGTGTTTAGTACCCAGCTCTCCTCACATGAGGAGAACCGGTTGAGAGCATGAGACCCTGACTCCTCGTTTCCACAGGACAAGATAAGGCCCAGTCAAACCGTAACACTACACCACGTACGCTGGCTTCAGGAGAGGGAGAAAAGCTCGCTACCAATATATTATTCCGTCCTTTTCGCCGCTCAAACGCCTCATCCCTCCTCGAGCTTCGAGTCCCCCCGGCTCCTCACAACGCACGGCACCGGCTCTCACCTGCAGCGGGCTCCATAGGCGCACTGCCCCTTCTGGTAATACTTGCAGACGGTGGAGGACTTGCTGCTGGACAGGTCGTGCGAGAACAGACACTTGCTTCCCTCGCGGCACACTCCCTGCACGTAGTACCTGTGGAGAAGCACCCGGCCCGGAAATGGATTCTCTCTGGAGGCGCGTTCCCGCGCGCGGCGCGCAGCTCCGGCCCGAGCCCCTCCGAGGCGCGGCGGTTCCGCGGGAGGAGCTCCCGGGTCACTTCGCCGGTCAGGGACCACCGCCACCCCGTCCCCGGCGCGAGCGGTCGGCGCTCACCTGCACGTAACCTGCTTGACACTCATCCTCGCCCCGCTCCGGCCTCCCCGCCCGGCCGGCTCCGCGCGCCGCACGCCCAGGTTCCGCTCCGCCGCGGGGAAGGGGCGGGGCCGACACGGACACAATTATCCGACGCGCCGCACAACCGAGACGCGTCTCGGCGGGCTAGAGCGCCGCTCCGCCATGGAGACGGCCGCCATCCTGCGCGTGCGGCACTGCGGCGCCGCCATCTTCTGCCGCCGCGCGCCCCCGCTCTGCCCCGCCTGCGGCCGCCCCCTGCGCGGCGCCGGGCTGCGCGCGGCCCCCGTGCGCCTCCCCTGCCCCTTCAGCGACGGGCACCGGCGGCCCCGCGCCTTCCTGCTGCGGCCTTCCGCCGGTAGCTTCCTGGGGTACGGAGCGCGGTATACGGGCACTACGCGGCGGCGGGCAGGGGGACCGGCCAGGGGAGTAAGTAGTGCCGGGTCTGGAATGGAAGCGTGCCCTCGGTGGGAGCCGAGCGCTCCATCCGCTCCATCCCCCCCGCGGGACAGTGAGGAGAAGCAGCCGCCGTTCCAGAGACACCTCGGCGGTTCTGACGGGACGAGCGCGGCTCACGCCTCACAGGCTCCGTTTTTGTTTCAGAGAATACGACGGGAACTCTGATCTCCACGTCGGAATATCCAGCGCTCAGGGTAAAACGCATTTCGTAGCTGGCTGCCGGCACTCCGCCCAGCTCCTGCACCTCAGACACCAGCGCTGTACGGCAGCCCTGCCGGAGCACGGTGCAAACACGGGCTGAGCAGCACGCCGTTACTGCCTGCACAGCACCACACGGGTCAAAACCCCACATCCAGTTAGTTATCTTGCCTTGCAGAAGCCAGCACGTTGAGTGAGTCAAAGCCATACGCCACTCTTCTCCCAGTTCCACCTCACTGCATGGAATGGAAGTAACAGGTGACCTGTATTCGTGACAAAGAAATAAAAGCAAGGCAGCAGAAAATTCAGGAGAGCACGCTATTGCTAATTCTGAAGTCATCCCTAATTAAAACAAACAAATGTGTTGACAGTCATTACAGGTTCTCAGAGCACAGCAGCCCAGACAGACAGCTCAAGCAAGACACTGCAGGAACAGAAAAACAGTCTGGTTTGGAGGCTTCAAGAGGAAGCCTAGCAGTCCTGAAGTTGTTTTCCTTATCAAAAGATCTTATATTACCTTGTAAAAATGAGAACAGTTCTTTGACAAGTAAACACTGCACTTTCTACTCTAGTTCTAGAAGGTCTCCAAAGGGAAGCTAGGGTTTAAAAAGAGTGGCATTAATAGTAGCTCACTTAAAAATGCACATGAATCCATTTTCTCCAGTACTACCTGTCAACCTGTTGCTCTTTATTTTCAGGAGTGGTGTATAATTACAATGAAGAGGGCATTCACAGAGATGCAACCGGATGGGAGCAGTGCATTAGTGTCCCACTAGTACAGCCAGATATGTTTGAGCTTCTTCAGCAGTGGGATCACCTCCTAGAGGAATTTTCTATGGGAGAGGAATGGCTTCCTCATAGGTATGTAGCTGAAAATGTGAATGCGATAGGAGTAAGTTATGATGATAAATTAGGCTATTCTGTTTTGGATCCTTCAGCTCCTTCAAACACATCATTAATTACAAAGCAGTCTAAACTCTTCCAGATTGTCTTGAAACTCAGTGATCTTGCTAAACAAAAAGAACCAATGTTTTTAAGTACGTAAACCTTAAAAGATCTGTAAGAGAATATATAAGAGAAATTTTCTTCAGCAACAAAACAACTGCATGAAAAAGAACACTTCACTGGAACACTACATTTAACAGTATGTGAGAATAAGCAAGCCTAGAGAGGTTTCAGCAATTACAGTAATATAAGGAGATGAAAGAATTTGACCCAGATTGAAGGTGTATATGAAACACAAACCTATTGGTCTTACAAGCATCTTTGACATTTCTCCAGTTCCCAGTGCATTAAAGTTATTAGTAAAATTAAATTGATGTCAAGCAATGGTAGAAAGTGAGTAGATGTATCCATCTTTTCTACAAGGTTTTCTTCTGTTTTCCCTGTCAGCCACCTGATAAAGCCACCTAGTTTCCCAAAAATAAAACCAGTGACCACTTCAACTGCTGAAAACTGGACTTTAAGATGTTAAATCTTAATGCTTATTTTTCCAGTGGACTGGAACTATGCTAAACTAATCCTGTAACTAATTTTAATTTTCTTGTTTACTTTCCACTTAATTTGTATAAAGTATAAGAGTATAAGAGACCAACAAAGAACAGTGGCCACAGACACGACTAACATCTTAAGTTACTGAGATACTAATTTTCTTTGACAAGACAAATACACGCTTTCCAAAAAATCAGGTGCTAACTAGAAGACACAGATGGGTAATGAGAAGTGTATTACAGAATCTTTTGCATTATAAATACAAATAGGTTCTGCAAACAAAATCATGGAACTGATTTAGTAAAGCACTGTTTGCTCACGTTTTGTACAAGTTTCCAGAACACGCTGCAGTGCTCTGCAGTCTCAGCACTGAGCCGAAGTGTTCCCAGCATTTTTGCAGTGCAATTACCAGTTGTTTTGCACTGCATGATGATGATGGCCACTCTTGGAAGTTCCTCCTATTTTTTTTTGTTAAAGTAAGTACACTGTAGCAAATTCTTGCTCACTTCATGGGAGCTCATAGGTCACTTCAGATAGCCTTAACAAACCAGGAGAGCTTTGAAGAAAACAGGGACAAATCCTGAACTGGGTTGAGGGTGGAAGGCTTGCTTTTGATAGCTATAGTCTTCATAACTTGCAAAAAAGCCTGGTAAATTCCCAGAGCTGATGTGCAAGCCTTGCAGAAGATTCCCTGTGGCAACACAGACCAGGGAGCCACTGAGAAAATGAGACAAGGAATGCCTCACAGTGCTAGAAAGAATGAGGGAGAAGTGATACAGGATGAGGTGATTACAGAAGAAGCTTGAGGATTAGGTAGATGGCAGGCAGTTATTCAAGGCCAATTAGAAAAAGCAGCACTGCATGGTGAAGGAAAGGAGTAAATTACTCAAATTGTCAGTGGCCAACATTAAGCATTTGGCAGAATCTGGAAAATGTTCTGACACTGAAAAACACAGGTAAGTGTTACATGCTTCTAGCTTAGCGTCCTGGGAGAAAAGTGAAGAACATTTTGAATGGCTACTCCTATTTAGTTAGTATTTATCCCTGCATTCTTGGCACTAATGACTGCCAATGGGAGTTTGGCTGGTATACTGTATCAACATATCAGTGACAAAACAGAGCTGAATTTAATTAAGATTGCAAGTTAACGCCACTCTGAGTGAATTGTCAATGGTGCCACATAAGGTTACCACTGCAGGAACATGTTCTCAAGATAACACAGTAACAACACAGAAAAGCAAAGGTTAACGAGGTAAAAACCAAGTATGTATTTTAAAAAATACACTGAAGTAATTAGTGCTCTTACTAATGAGATCTTCTTCCTAGGTATGAAGAACATGACCACAACTGCTACACGTATGCACTAGCATTCATTAACAGTGTACTGACTGCACAAGGAAAGCAGCAAATGAATAAAAGTGAATTTACAGAGAAGTTTGTGATTCCACAGACAAAGAACGCTTCTAAGTATATTACCCTTCATCAGGAACTAACCACTAAGGACTTCTACATTGTACCCCTTCCTGATCAAGAAGAACAGTGCTGAAAATAAGCTGTCCAACTATACATTGTGTTCTGTTGAGACATTTAATATTAGAAATCGTAACGGCTTATAATTAGGGGTTTTAACAAATCAACTGTTGAAATAAGCTCTTTTGAATCAAACATTTTTCCCATCACACGTATGGTTAAAAAAAAAAAAGGAGTTTGTGCTTGCATGCTGCTCAAATCTAAAGTCTGTGACAAAGCAAAATCATTTTCCTTTACTTCAGCTACTAGTAAAGCATACAGCATTTATAACATAAATCCAGTCTCATTGTCAGGTACATTTCCAGTCCCTTCTTTATGTTTTACATGTTATCCCTCAAACCAAGACAGACCCATAACATTAAAGGATAGTCATACAGCATCCTATCTGTAATGAACAGCAGACTCATCTGGATCCATCACAGAGAGAAAAATATAAAAGCAATTTATGTTTAAAAGAAATAGAAAGATGCTCCAACAGTACTTCTACCTACTGTACATTACAGAGAAGTGTATGCTGAGGACAAGGTTTTACTGTTCATAATTCTACACACTTATTTACATATATTCTAGCTTAAGAAAACATGTTTATCTTCCCTTCTACTAGCTTCTGCAAAGTAAATGTAGACCTGAACTAGATTTAAGTCCTGTTTCCTCAACTATAGAGAAACAATCAAACCACTGTGGTTTTCCATATCTAGTTTATAATTTTGTAAACACAAACTGCAAATACTACACCCCCATCTTATTTCACTTCTTGCTAAATTCCTAGTTCCTTTAAAAGCATATTCAGAAACACAAGACAGAGACAACCAGTTTGAAATGCTCAATTCTGCTGCTGCTAAGAGCCCCCCGTCCAGAAACATTCAAGCAATTCAGAGTTCTTTAGCTAAGATGTAGCTTACAAAAATAAATTACAGCATGCTATTTCTGAGTATATCAGAATTCATACCTCATTTTAAGTTTTGAATTTCAACTATTGAAATACAAATACATGGCAAAGTATCAGTATCCTGGTAGAACTATCTGCTATAAAGTACTTGTTGTAATAGTACTAAAGCATGAAACACAGTCATCTCCAGTTACAAGTACAGCACTGTGCCACATACAGTCGACACACATGCAGATGTTCAGCTTGAAAAAGCAATCACTCTCTTGACATTTCCATTGTACATCTTTCTCTGTAAATGACAGGATATGCTTGGATTTTAGTCAGCATTTATACATACCAACTGAAAATGCTGATAGAAACTGATGATGAGCCATTGTCTGAGGGATCAGGTGAAAAAAACAAAATGTTTATAGAAAGGATTCTTCCTCTAATTCGGTTAAAGATCATCTTGCTCACTGCGCTCACGGGAGGACACCCAACGAGTTACAATCAGTTCCTGAAGTAAAAAAATAGCAACTATTATGGAAGTGAAAAGATGAAAACAATCTCCATGAGATGGTCTTAAGCATTTAGCAGACCGACTTACATGACGCAATCCCAGCAAACGGATGACTATAGATATTCCTGAAGTAAGCTGGCCTCTTGGGTGTTTGGCCACCCTGCCCACAACAGAGGGGTGATCAAGGTCCCTACTGACCCCAGTCATGATTTTATGTTTTTCTTCCTTTGTTTTTAAACACCCATAAACCATAGACTCTCCATAATTATCTGCCTTTTTTTCCCCCCATGAAAATGTTTCGCAGTAGCAGCAACATTCAAATTTGGATCAGAAAACCTAAAGTGTTTAAAGAGGATGTAAAGCACTTCTCGTATCTTAGGGCACAAATAAATCTAGCTATTTTATTGCAGCCATGCATGTAAAAACAAAAGCCGGCTGAAAAGCAAGCAACAATTCAAGAGGGTTCTTTTACGGTAGGTTGTTACGTGTCCAGCTGCCCCAAGGCAAAATTAACACAGACAAAGGAAAGAAACTATTACTCACCTGGACCTTAATTCTTTTCAAACACTCTGGCGTGGCCATCTCTTCTTCAGTCATATCAGATGGCTTAATCAAATAGCATAACATAAGTTCCTGTTGGTAAGCAGAAAATAATATACTAATTTCAACTCATTTCTTTCTATACAGGTTATAGATTAATTAGAGATGTAGATACTAAGTTTCCTAGGAGATGTCTTCTGCAAATCAAATTGGAGAAGAGCCGTATAACCTGCATGTCTCATTTCCCTTATCAAAGCAGAATCCTGTGTTGGATTAAGCTGTAATCATAACACAACAACTGAGCAGCATGATTATGAAAACAACATTATGTATGACACTATCACAGAAAAAGTTTTCAGAAACTTTCAATTCTACAGTTGAAAACAAAATCCTGATACGCAGAGAGGGATTTAAAGACAGAACTGGTAACTGGGAAAGCAGCGTCCTTTGTGTCTTTCTACAGTTCTTCACACAAGTTCCTGCAGAGGAGAGAATTTAATAAACTTCTTCCAGATGTCCTATGGATATTAACTAATGAAACTTGTTTGCCCGCCAGCAACTCCATGTGTTCTTCTGCACACTTGAAGCAGAATTCCCTTTCCAGCCTCATGCCCAACTCCAAATATTCTGGAACTAAACTGTGTATTTATCATTTCAAAGCTATTTTAAAATGAGTAGCTTACACCATTACCTTAGAAGCATTAACAGTTGTTCTGTTCAAACCAGACAAGGACATCCAGCTCAGCGGTCTGCGAAGAGAACCTTCAAAATTGTCATCAACTAATTCAGCAATGACAGAGTAACTGGAAAACAAAGGAGATGGGACAATTCACAGAAAGAAAATTGTTTTAAGAAGATTGTATAGCTTAAGAATTTGAGCCAAAAAAATCTGTGTTAAACAATAGGCCAGCATGCAGGAAGCAAGCTAAGAAACTTAAGTCTCTTCCCATTAGGCAAGAGGAGAAAAGATCAAACTGCTAGCAGGCTGACTGGCATTTTCCCTCCTACCCTTCTGCTGGCGTTTGGAGTTGTTCTTTTGTGGATGCCAAGCTGATATTTAAAAACAATTTACTATTTAGGTGTTAAACACGACTAGCTAAGGAATAAAGATCATTATCATGATTAATCATTAACCTGCAGCAGGGGGTTTGAAACTAGGTGATCCCTGAGGTCCTTTTCAACCTAGGCCATCCTATGATTCTATGATCATCCCTTAAGAATCATGTGTTTTTCCTTCCAAATTACGTAAGTTATCCATACTACATACTTTCAAAACTCAGCATTACTAAATGATGTCTCCAACTGCATTCATCGTGACTGCTAAATATGCTCATTTCCAATTTTAATTTGTAATATTTTATTACTGTCACAAGAAGACAATAAAACCGTGTTACTTAGTACCTCTGTTAGAAAAGGCACTTTTATATTCCCATATGAACACATCTGACAAAGTATTTTGGGTTAGGAGTATGTGCTTAACCAGTGAAGACGCTAAATTAGCGTGAGAGAAATTTTCTAATTTGAAATTAAGAAGATAGCCAAAAACATAAGCTTCAAACCTTGCGTGATAGAAGGGAGGGCCCTTCCGATACAGCACTGAAAAGGAAGAGAAACACCTGAGTCAGATGATCACAGTTACTGCCTGAGTTTAACTTCTGGGCCCATAAACACTTACATACGCTTCATACATTTTAGTTACACTAGACAAAACTTCAACACTTCTGAATTTCGCTCAGAATTAAGTTGTCCCAGTAAGTGAAGAAGGGGAAAAGAAAGACAATTAATATGGGAGCAGCAGGACCAAGGAAATGGCAGGTAAAAATGTAGAAGAGCCAAAAGAATTTAGTAATTGCCATGGGGAAAAAGAGCTTGGAATTTTTCTGTAACAGATTCATGCTTTTAATACTGTATGTATAACACAAGTAGAGCTGCTGGAATACAAGGGGAAGGTCACAGTAAGACTGAATTCCTGTTTGAAGCAATCACCTTCCACAAGTTTTAGGGAGGCCAAAGGCACAAGTTTTTAAATACTGCCACAGTCCCATCTGTAGACGTGCTGAAAGTTCTCTCTCTGTGCTCATATTTCCTACCTCACCTCTGTCATGAGTTTGCAAGAGATTACTTTAACTAGAACATACAGCTGGCTGTCGGGCAAAAAAAGAGTAGCACCTCATTCCAGCAGCAATCATTTTTTGCACATTATCCATTAAAGGCAACAACATTAGTAGCATCAATTTGATAAAGCTACAGCACAAGAACAAGAATCTAGAGGGCAGGGCTGAATCTTCACTAGCCTTAAACTAATCCACATCACTGGCACAAGATGAGGAGTGATATGCTGAAGAACAAACTCAGGCCAAATGAGTGATGAACAATCTAATATCTAATGAATAAATCAGGTGATCAATATCAGAACCTTACTGATTTGTATACAGTTCATAGAAAATACCTTTGTTCACACACATCTTCCTGTAACAACAGGCATAACTGGACTGTTTATGCCAATGTGAGCTGAATGTAATCCTTGAATTACTTAGCAAGGGATTACGGACACTTCTAATTACTTCTGTATGACAAAAAAATTCTACCATTAGCAAACAAGCAATCGCAAGAGACTCTGTTTTGAAGAAAGCTACTCACAGAGATCAGTTCCATACTTCAGCCCAACCTTGGGGACCCAGCCCTTGCTGCGGAAGTAATGATACGCCATGTAAGTAGTTTTAAAACTAGGCTTCACTTCGCTGAAAATTTCCCATAGCTTCAAAATAGTTAAGGGCTCCTAAAAGTCACAGATGAAGGCATTAACATGATTACATTCATATTACAGCACATGCAGAATACTGTGTGTAGCACAGAGTAAAAGCAGAATGCAAAAACCCTAAATGTAGGAGAAAATGGTAGCTTCTATTTTTTTATTTTTTTTTTAATCATTTCACAATCAGTCCCATAAGTTTCTTGTATAAAAAGAACTCTGATAAATAGAACCATAGGAAGATAAGAGAGCAATCTTTAGATATGATTATGCAAATATATAAGTATTATCATATTCTTCCTAAGCTGCCTTCCCCCACATTCATTACCTAAGATGCAACAAACAACCTTCCTCTACAGGAAGATCCTGCTTGCCTATATTTTGGCAGCTGTATTTGCCATGTTAAACAAAACTTTCAGACTAATATGTTATAAGCAGAAATACTACTACTTTGTTAGAAAAAACTTCCCAATTATTCTGCTCGGTATTCCCTCCTTTGGGATTAAGAGCATACAATGCTGGTAATATTTGGCAAAAAATTCATATCAAAACAGACCCAAATGAATGGTATCCCCATCAATCCAATCTCTTACCTCACCATAATAAACAGTTAAGCATCCCAGAGCATACACCAAGAAAAAAGCCTGAAAAACCAAAAAGAATACTTTTAACTGATATCTACACTCTTCTAGGAGGTCATATTCCAGGCAAGAACAAAGGCTCACATTCATTTTATACAGAAATCAAGACAGACAAGTTGCTTGTGAGGTTCCCCTGAAGTTTCTATTTACGAACTTCACATTCCAATAGATAGAGTACCACAAAAATCATGCACGTGCTGTTGACTCCTGAAGGCACTGCATTAAAGCTGTGGACCATATTAAAACTGCAAATATATTTAGCAGGAGCACAATGGGGTTTACATAAATGAAGAAGGGAGAATCCTATATTTCAGAGACAAACATTAATATATGCTCTACTCAAAACATACCTCTTCCAAGCTGAGTTGTAAATATTCAAAAATCCTAAATGGATTTCTTCTGCAGACTAGTTTTTCCTTCTTGACAAACTACAACGAAAATTTACTATATTAAGATGCTAAACTGGAAAAAATACCAAATTCTTAAGCTTGCAATGATTATAGCCATTAAAAAAAAAAAAAAAAGAATGAGCCTTACATTTTCTTGCTCATGAGCAGAGCCCTCTTCAGGACATAAGCTACCTTCCTCTTCCTCTTGCACAAGCACATATTCTGGAGCACGTTCTCCTGACTTGGCCATGTTGCTCGATTCTCGCTCAGGGCCCCCTTTAGCCTTGCAGCCACAATGCACATGAGAACCATGCTTCTGGCAGGACGCTTGGGCTGCCTCTTTCACAACAGCAGGCTCCTGTTCCTCAGAACCAAGAGCCACCACGGGATCAGAAGCGAGATCTCCTTCTGCACAGGCTTTCTGGCAGACCTCCTTCTGAGGCTCAGGACTCGAAGTCGCTGTGTTTTCGGTATCTACAGCAGACTGCCTGGAAAGTTCTGCATTTTCTGTGTTTGGGCCCATCGTGTCACAGCCATCACCAGTTTGCTCAGCTCCACCCTTTTCCAAAAATGGAAATTCAAGAGGCCTAGTGTAATTCTCAAGAATTTTGGTCACGGAGCAGCTATCAAATCCTTGCTCTTGCAAAGCACTTTTAGCCCACTGAACACGCTGCTGGTACCTAGAGAACAAGTGAAATAAATGAGAAGTTCCAGGGCATTTTTTCCTCTAATTAACACCTTAAAAACACACATGTAATTTCTGTGGTAACACTACAGAATGCTATGCAAGAACCACACCTTGAGGACTGCTGTGATGCAGTTTGAAGGAGCAGGAGCTTGGCGGAAAAAAAAACAACATTCTCACACGGAAGCCTTAAGTCTGAGTTCTCTGCAAGAAGATCTCTGTATCAGAGCTTCCACGATTAAACATTGTAAGCAGGACTCAGTATACAGAGTTCTCACAGACATCATCTATTACACAGCCCACTACTGAGAACAGTTATCTTCAACTTATTTTAATTACCTTTGAAACAACAACAGAGTAGAAACGTGAAAATCTTAAGGAGAAACTGCCTTGAGTTTTAACCAACAACCCCCCACCTCCGAGGACCAACAGTGATACAAGCAGAGAGTTACTAGCTGAGAGCTGTGAATATTTCTCCTAATATCTTTCAGTGAGTTACAATAATCCCAGCTGTTAGTTCGTAGCTCTCACTGGAGATAATGTTAATAGGCAGTTTAAGGCAATCATCCTTCTGTGAAAGTTTCAAGTAGCTGAGTACAGTAGTCCTTAATCAAAGCAGGGCAATTCCAGTACTATATTTGTTATTTCTCAAAACTTTTACAAAGTCAGAGATCAGGTAATGTAGAACAGCAAAAGCAAATAATTGTGAATTCAGAGTGTCAACAAGAAACAAATCCCCTCTGAAATCTAACAAAGCTACGTAATTCAGTGCTGTACTTTGTGTTACAATAAAGATTCCTCTGTGTTCTATGTGGATTTGGAGTTACAGACCTCTGCTGAGACAGATCACCCCATCCCCCTGCACCAACACCACAACACTTCTAATGCCCATCTGCCTTTACACATTCAGTGCCACACAGCAGTGTTTCTGCCAGCAGTAGCAATGCCACTACTGTCTGCCTTACCTAAAGTTGAGGGCCCAAGAAGCCAAACTTTTAAATTTAAGTGATTTTTTTCTACTGTCATCGTAGAATGAAAGCAAACACAGCAGCTAACATGCCCACTCTGTGGTTAGGTCATACACTATTTAAGTGGAACTAAATAAATGTGATCCAACACCCTATTTTGTTAAATGCACAAACTAGCAATATTAAGAGAGAATATAGAAAAAAGTAAATTTTTATGCTACATAAACGCCTAAGAGCTTCTTCAGCCTTAATTCAATAAGGAAATGGGAAGGTTTTACAATATTCTGCCCCAGAAACCTCTCTCTCCTTCTCAGCTGAGTAACAAGATCATTATGCTTAACAATATGAATTCATTACCCACACTTAATCTTGACTTTTATTCAGCAGCTAATACAGGTAACCTTACATCAGAAACCACGTTAAGTATCACCTAATCTATTTCCAGTTTTCTGAATGCAATTTATAAGTGAAATAAAAAGAAACAGAAGTCACCAGCACTTACACAGCCCTGAAAACAAGATAAAATATGAACTAAATTCTCCTGCCTCTAAAAGAGAATAATAAACTAACATAAGCTGACTTACTTTTTTGATGTGATTATAGGCATGTTTAGGTTGGCACCTGTTATCAAGAGAAAATCACACACTGTATCATCAACATAAACATTTCATGAGATTTTAATCACAGATAATTACTCATGTTTTCAATAATCCATGCCATTTTGGTCCCACTTGCATTGGTTAAGGACATGGGAGAACTAGAACTGGCACAGAGGTAACCAGAGGTAAAGCAGCCAGCAGAAGATCAGCTAAACACACTGCTTTCCTCCAGCCTTTACAGAGACAGTTACATAAGGAGACTGCCAAATCCAGCGATGCCGAGGGGATTTAGTTGTTGTGAAAAATATGGATAAAGCATGACAGTCTCTCCTTAATGAACCAAGAGCACACCAGATGTAACTAGCCATTAGTAGATAAAAGAAATCCACTTATCCTTGCCTCATGATATCATGAATGGTAAGAACTGGGGTTTACAGCCAAGAAAAGCCTGACAGTTATAGGCAGAAAAGTCCAAGGATGACACCTTCACTTAGCAGAGCCCCTAAACAACAACTCGGTGGAGCCTAGCAGGACATATGGAGGGATAACTAACACTTGGTTTTCCAAGGAGTCTCATAGTGGGCATTATCAGAGACAAGGTATGGAAGCAGGTTGACTCAACGTAGCACAACAGACTACTTTGTGTGTGATTTATAGACATATATTCAATGAGTGATATCAAAAGTGTTATTAGAACGGTGAAAAGAAGTACAAATGGGCACAGCTTACCTTGCCATTTGGAAACCAGTGAAGGATCAGAAATGCTGTACATTGGTCGACTTCTTGAAAGAATGCCTTTTCCAAAATAGCCCTTCAAAGAAAAAGGAAAAATCTTCATTTTATCAGCAGATGGAAGAAAACTTACTTCCAAACTACAAAATGTTTACTGCCTTTGCCTGCTGACAAAAATAACTGAAATCCTGCAGCTTTTAATCTTAGCCCAAAGCTGGATGTTTAACTTCTGGTAACTAATTTAACATTTAACGTTCATGCTTGAAAATTTAATTAAGGGAATGTTGAGTCTTTTCCCCCAGTTTTAAATATTCGTCAGACAACTCCTCTGAAAGTAGAGGCAGAAGAAGCACCTGTGTATTCACACTGTGACCACGCATAAGGAAAACAGGGACACAGCAACTGCCCAAGAATGGGGATGGAGAGGTCAATAAAGGCCTGCCACACGGCAGGGCAGGCAGCACCTCGTTGTACAGCCGCTCCACGTCCTCGGGGCTCCTCACCACGACGCTGTTGTTGACCATATCAGCCCGGCACATCCTGAAATCCCCCCCGCCGGCACCCACAGGGAAAGGCGCCTGGTAGCACTCAAATACCCTTCTTTTCCTTCTCGGGGGACGGAAAGCGGCTTCGGCCATCTCCCTACAGCACCGCCTCCTGCTAAAAAGCGGAAACGAGACGTGCTCAGCGCTCCTTCACGTTCACACACGTCCGTCCCCCAGCCGGGACCCGCCAACCCCGCCCGGCACCGCGCGTTTCGAATAGCACGAGGCGCAGAACGAGCGCACCTACAGCACGCGGCTGCCCGAGCGCGAACTACTTTCGGACACAACCAGGACGAGCTCCCGGGAGCGAGCCCGGATTGACAGCCGCCCTTCAGCGGAGCCGCTCACACACGCCGCGCCGCGCCCGGGGAGCGGCCGTCAGTCACGCACCCTTGGTGACCACCCACGCGGCACCGCCCCGCCCGGCGCCGGCGGTCCCGCCCGGGGCGAGGTGTTGTGAACCGGGCAGAGAGCGGAACGCCGAGTCCCGGCCCCGCGGCCAGCACCCCTCGGAACGACCGCGCGCACCCGGCCCCGCCGTAGCAGCAACGGCAGCACCGCGACGCTCCGCCTCCAGGCGGCCGCGCCTGCGCGCGAGCGGTGGTGGCGGCCGCGCGGCCCAGTGCAGCTCGCGGCGCTTATGGGCGCGGGAGGGCGCTGCGCGCTGATGGCTGCGCGCCCTGAGGCGGCGGAGGCTTCCAGGCGGCGCGGGGCGGGGCTGTGCGCGCCTTGACGCTGCGGCGCTGCCCGCAGAGCGAGAGGATGCGGCGTTCTGTGTTCTGAAATGAGCGATGAGCTTCGTAATGAGGGACGTTAGATAGATGGGAGGCTGATACAGCGGTGGGAGGTGAGGATCCCTCTCAGCTGGCAGCAGTTCTTGGCTGTTGTGGCTGACTCGGAGCTGCTCGGGATAACGCGGTGCTTCTGGCAGCAGTCGCTGAGATCTGCAGCTCATTGCCAGAAGGAAATGGCAGCGTAATTAACAAAAAGGACCTGAATAAAATGCAGAGCACGTCAGTGTGTCTTTGTGTTTCCAGTGGACTCGTTACTAGTTTAGGCCACGCTCGACAAACTCATAATCACACACGCACCTACAGTGCAGCTGCTCCTCGCTCCGAGGTGCAGTGAGGGATCAAAGGAGGGACATCTGTCCTGGAAGGCACCCAGCACAAAGTCCCATCAGTAAACGTGCTGATGACAAGACGCAAAAACACACTGCTGCTATGAGCTAATTCATTTATCCCCATTTAAAAGACACGGGAAGAGGAGTGTAGGTTATAAGACCACATAGGAGACATAGAGCTAAATGCGAGAAGTGTAAACGAGCGTTTCTTTTGCTACCATGGAAGTACCTGTGTGTTAAAACATCAAAATAAGCAAGTATCAAAAATGGCACTTGGCTTCAGAATTCCCGATAGCTGTCAAATCAAGTTGATTTCAAATGAAATTAGAGTTTATCTAGGACAGATAAGCCTGTATGCCCCCACTGTGCAGACACAGTACTACGAGATGCGCGTTACAACGAGCAGCAGACAAAACAGCAGCAAGCCATGGGTCAGCTGCTTTCTACCACATCTCATTATCTTCATACAGCCTTGAAAGGAAACCACAGCACACACCATTCAGTCAGTTCTGCATCACACTCATTTCATCAAGGGAATATGCAGTGAATATCTGTTCTCATTTCTTTTTCTGATTATAAGTCTAGATTGTTCTTCAACCAGAAAAATTGCTATCTGAAGGACAAGATCACTTTAAGATGAGTCATTACAATACTTGTATATATTATTTTAGAATATCAGCAGTTGTACAGACACTTTTGCAGATGTCTGGATTTCCCTTTTTATGATGAGACAGCAAATGACACAGCAGCAGTAAGATGACTGGGCAGAACCTCTGGAAAGCAGATGCTGAGGATTATAGAGAATCATGAGTTGGAAATCAGTCAGAATGTGAAAAAGGGTGTCATACTGGTGTTTACATGCAGGAGGCCATACCCAAGGCATGAAGTAGATGAGCATTTCTTTTACTAAGAACCTGAACTGAAGAGTGTCCAATTAGAAGAACAGGTCATGATAAATGTAGAGCAATTGGACAGAGTCAAGAAGAGAGTGACAAGAGTGACATGAGGAAAGACTCAGTCTAGAAGATGTAAAATGAACAAAATAGGCCATTACAGAGAGGGAGATGCTTTTGTTTTATTTCCATGAGTGGAAATTTTAACAGCACACTAGATAAATATTTTTCAGACGCAGCTAAAGTTTGATCCTGACTTGAGACAAGGGACTGCAATAAAAGGACCAAAGATGACTTTTGTGGCAGTTCTCAGTGTTTATCCTTTCTGTTTTTCTGATCTCTGCAGTGCCATGGAAACTGCAATACCCTGTACTGCCCTACAGAGGCTGAAAGCCTTTTGTTAAATCATCTCGCAGACTTCCATTTCTGTTATGCGATCTTTTGGTTTAGTAATGTCTTCATGAGAATAGACTGTTTCATGTTGTGTGTGGGTGATTCATTGCTTCTGATGCAGGGCACTCCATTACTTACTACTTCTTGATACTGAGCTTAATTATCCTGTTGACTTTATTCAATTAAGGTCCAAATTGATGCCAGCTTTCTGAGAAGTCATGCTGCAAGTTTGCTGGAATCAATAGATGAAGTAAATTCCATGTATGCAACGAGAATTCATATTTACTAATATTTAAAATATAGTATTAATTTTCATGCTATGGAGATTTTACTGCCAATAAAACTAAGTTCCATATGCAGGAAAGTGCTGGAGAGTTATGCTAACAAAAGGGTTGTTTTTGGGGTGTCTGGAGACTTTTGGAAGGAGTTAGGAAGTTAGTTCCCAGTCCCACCTCAGCCAAAACAGGTGAGGTTTCTTTTTCAATACGTAATTTACAATCTTAAGCTTATTAGAAGAAATAGAAATATCAGCCTGTAAAACTATTTGCCCATGTAGCATTTTCTTGTGTTTTCTCAAGGAAGTTAGTAATAAAATTGTAAAAGAATGACATATTCTAGTAATGTCTTTAGTCAATTTTAGATTCCATACGAAACAAAAAACAGTTTTGCATAAAATCTCACAAAAAATAAGTCATAATTTGTCATTAGATTCATTTCTCTTTCTGGTTTCAACAAGATGTTCCTGCAAAATTTTCTTAGCTCGTGCTGGTTGTAGTCAAGAGAAATGTTTTGACGTGTGTTCTAAAAAAAACCCATTTATTTCTCACAAGGTGATCTGAACAGTAGTTGGGAGGATGGGCTGTTATTTACATTTGCAGTTCCAGTTTCCCTGGATAAGCAGAAATTCCCATGGAAATGCTGGTTACATTAACTTTGACAGAGATATGGGACTGTTTTTGGAAACTTAAAAAAAAAAAAAATTAAAAAACCAGCAAGGGAATACTTTTCATTTTTTATTAATATGTAATTTCTTTTTTTTTAATTAAAGAAATAAATCAAGGTTAGTTCCTGCTTAGTTTCAGATGGCTTTCACAGGAGACAAAAAAAGAGAAGTCAGACAAATATTGGCCACGCATCAACCCAGTTACAAATCCCACAGCAGCAGAAATCCCAAGGTGGACAGCAGTGAGTGGATAGCATGAGAAAAGAGAACACTGAAACTTAATGTGTAGCTATCATGATTTTGCATTTGTGGAGATTTAAACACCCTTTAGTGAGGAAGTTCTACGGAACTGTTGGATCCTGCTGACATTCCATCCTATCAGCGTATGACCTGAAGGCTCTCTGCAGACATTGCAGTGTGCAGGGACACTTTCTGTCCTCACAGCTAACTCTTGGTTTGTATTACAAACTTTATGCATTTGAAATGATGTGAATATTAAATTTTCTCTGCATCAAGGCTTTAAACAACCCCAAATTATTGCTTCCCTTCTCCCCATAGAAATTAATGCAAAAGGTCTGAGCTTGCAATTTCAGGAGTGTTTAAAGGCACTTACAGCCTCTGATTTTCACCCATCCCTTGAGCTCCAGTATCACATTCATTTACCTCTTGTTTGAGAAACATTTGTTCCTTCATGGGTCATTAGTTTTCCTGCTTCATCAATCATCCAGGTAAGTTAAATGACGCACAGCTTCTATTTTGCCAAGTTCTGGCTGCGTCACCTTCATCTCCTGCTACTGAGCAATTGGCCAAGCAGCAAAAGGCCAGGAGAACTCCAGGCTCCAGCAAGACAATCAGTAAAAGGCCTTTTCATTTTCTGCATTTCCGTAGGAAGGAAAACTGTAATAATTAGATGTCTCCACTAGATGTCCATATTTCAGCGATTTTTGAGTTGTAACTTCAATGAATTCAGTTGGCTCGTGCAAAATGCCTATGAAATGCTCCACTGAAAGACTTTCATGCTAGTGAAGTTGTGTGCTTTTTTTCCCCCAGCTTGGCTTCTAATTTTCCTATACACAGTTCTATTTTAGCGCTTAGATGAATGCAGATGCCCAAACCAGTGGCTCAGATTTTTAGCTATGGCTGACTAATTGTTAAAAAATTACTTTGCTCATTACATTTATCTTAAATATTGATATCCAGTATTTACCTACTTCTCTAATGGATGCTATGCTTGTGTGGACACGTGTATGGTAACTGAGCACAGGCTCTTTTTTATGCTTACGGTTAAAAACAAACTGTACGCGAAACAAGCTTTTGGCCTTGGTATTAATTTACTGAAGATGCTTATCACTGCTCTGGCTGGGCAAAGGACCATTATGGCAACTGTGAATGGCAGCACCTGCACTTCAGTTGTGCTCATCTCCTGTCAAAGCAGTGAGTGCAGTGCTCATGGAAAGTGCCAGGCTACAGCTCCAAACATCTCTTTGCAGGAACTGGCAGACAGCATCTCTGTCATCAGCCTGCTCATTTGCTTCAGTGTATCTGGAGAGTTGTCTTGTTGTGCCAAATTGGTAACATTTTTACTCACTTCCCAGATCACCTGCATTACTGCAAATTACTGTTTATATCCTCTGTAATGTCTTTGTGGTTTTTATGTCCACTTATTAACAATAATAGGGAGGCTGACAATTTAGTTCAAATACTAGGCAATTCCAAGAAGCTGAAATGACAGCATTAAGATTACATGTAATCCTGAGCTGGATTCCATTCTAGGAATAACCCAGAGAAGAGACTTTTTTCACTATTTTTCTTCTGGTTTCCCATGCATTTTCAGCTATATTAAACATAAAGATAGAATGGATTTTAGAGAATGCTGTGTATCACTCCATTCAAAGACTGAACTTTCAGAACCAGCTGCAAGCTAGGCACTAAAAATTCACAGTTCATGTAGATGTGGGTATAACATCTAAAACTAGATTTGTCTCCAATACTTCTACTTCATTTTCAATATTAAGGAATGTGGAATGTATCTCAAAGTTCATCCTACATTTTTACTGTTCAACAAAATTTGGTGTCACTCCTTTTAATCTCAACACTCTCTGACCCAGGAGCATGCTTTAACATGGCTGTCTGCCTCTAATTGCAAAAATAATCCTACTGGGATTCAGATATTATCTGAAATGTGTCTCAAAGCTCATCCTAAATGCTGTCTAGGTTCCTATGTCATAACTGAAAAAAGGACAAAACAACAAGTAAATCAGGAGAAATTCCTAAATCATCACATTTCTAAGAATTGAAATAAACCAAATAAATCAATTTGTTGCCAGAAGTATTTATGTTTTTAAATACAAAATGACAGAACATCCTCTTATATCCAAATCCTGAATGTTTACTTTCCGTTTGTTTAATAACAGGAAAAGGTTTGTAGCTCTTTTGTTGAGTTTTTCATGTCAGCATCTTCAAATACCTATGGTATTCTTAAAACTTTTACCAGGAAAAAAAACAGTGCCATGGCCTATACTGGGAAACGTTCTGTTTATTTTAGACGCATTTATGAGCACACAAAGGCAAACAATTGCCTATCATAAATGGAATGAGCAACTTATAATGGCTCAGTATCGCAGTTGTACTTCTTGGTATAGTTCCTTGGCTCATTTGTCCCTGCCCTTCCTGTGTTCTGTTCATTACCTCTCCCTATACCTTTTGAACTCGAGTGTAGATTAAATGCTTTTTTTTTTTATTTTCCAATTACCTGCTGGGCTCTGCTTCTTTGGTGTCTCAGACATAGGGAGTATTGGGCTAAAGGTTTATCATATAGCTGTGACTGGATCCACAGGACAGGGCTTGTCATGAGCATGAAGTGAAACATAAAGCTGAGGGAATGCTTTTAAAGTACACTGCTCTTAGATGAGACTCTGGAAGAAAGCACGACTAATAGCTTTCAAGTATCTGTAGACTTCTTATAGAAGTATTTCAGTCTAGTTTGGCCTTGCCTGTTCTATGATGGCACGTTCTATGGTAGCAACTGAAGCAACTACAAAGCAAATTTTGGCCTAACTATGTTAAAAACATAGGATATTTCTGCTGCTGCAGTACAGACCAACCTATACCAAATATGCTAGTTCTGTTCACATAGTTACTACATGAGGTGGACTCATGTGAACAATGAAAAACCATATCCCTAAGTACTAAGTTTACCCTTTCCATAAATGCCTCCAAACACTTCCCTGAGCAACCTGCTCCAGAGTCTGACCGCTCTTTCCAAGAACAAATTCTTCCTAACATCTAACCAGAGCCTCCACTGGCACAGTTTGAGAGCATTCTCTCTTCTTCTATTGCTGTTATCTGGGAGAAGAGGCTGACCCCCACTTTGCTGCAGCCTCCTTTCAGATAGTTGTAAAGAGCAATAAGGTCTCCCCTGAGCCTTCTCCAGTCTGAACAATCCCAGTTTCCCCAGCCACTCCCTCTAAGGCTTGTGTTCCAGACCCTTCACAGCTTTGTTGCCTTTCTCTGGACATGCTCCAGGCCCTCTTTCTTGTAGTGAGAGGCCCAAAACTGAACTTAATACTTGAGGTGCAGTCTCCCTAGAGCTAAGTATAGAGGGATGATCACTTCCCTGCTCCTGCTGGCAACACTACTTCTACTGGTACAAGCCAGGATGCCATTGGCCGTCTTGGCCACCTGGGCACACTGCTGGCTCATGTGCAGCATTCCAGCCACTCTGCTCCAAGCCTGTAGTGTTGCCTGGGGGCTACTGTGACCAAAGTGCAGAACCCAACACTTGTTTTTTGTAACTTCATCCTGCTGGCCTCACCCATTGATCCAATCTATCCAGATCCCTCTGTAGGGCCTTCCTACCCTCGGGCAAATCGACTTCATCAACTTTCCCCCAGCTTGGTGTCATCTGCAGACTTACTGAGGATGCACTGAATTCCCTTATCCAAATCATCAATGGAGATACTAAAAAGAATAAGCCCCAGTACTGACACCCTGGGTAACACCACTTGTGACCAGTCACCAGCTGGATTTAACTCAATTCACCACTACTCTCTGGGCCCAGGCATCTAGCAAGTTTTTTCTCAGCAAAGAGCGGACCTATCCAAGCCACAGACTGCCAGATTCTCCAGGAGAATACAGTGGGAGACAATGTCAAAGGCTTTGCTGAAGTCTGCACAGATTATGTCAACAGCATTTCTGTCATCCACCAACTGGTCACCTGGTCATAGAAGGAGATCAGGTTGGTTAAGCAGTATCAGCCTTTGGTTGGTCCTGATCCCCTGGTTGTCTTGCACATGATTGTGATCATGGTCACTGAAATAGGTGACTGTGTTAATATGAACATAATAGTAAGATTATATTAATAACATGAGCAAATTTAGAGGCAAGAACAGGACAGAACTGGTTAGTCAGGCTTTTTCTGAACAGTCAATGGCACTTTGAATCTCAGAATATATAGTAGGATGCTTTTTGAAAGAGTGGTATTTTATGTTGCATTTGACAAATAGGTGGATGAACTGATACAGAAGCTGTGATAATACAGAAGAATGAGGTTTTGTTGCTCAAAATGTAGTTTTTTCACCTTGGAATAAATAAAATTAGTAACTATTAGAACTATTCTGAAGTAAAAAGAGGAGACTAAGCACTTTATTTTTACCATTATGAGCTATTATCCAAACCCACACTGGATGCTGACCTTTGGTGTATTTAACTGAAGGCTAAACTGAAGTGCTTGGTCTTCACTGTCCTTTTACCTCAAGATTGCTTTTGCACATAAACTACCATTAAGTAAAAATTGTAGCATTTTCAGTAACCTAATTAAACTCTTACTGTATGCTTCTCTAAGGTAATTTTCAAATAAAATTTACACCAACCTACAGTTCTTCTGCTCTCACTCATTATATGTAAATCCAGAACAGATGCAAGCAGCCAAAGTAATATAGGCGGCTGCATTTGAACAGTAACAATCTTGTCATTACAATGCAGCATAAAACCTATACATAGAGTGTGTAAAGCTTGCTCCCCACAGCGATTCTTACACCTTTTCCCTGACAACAGACAGTAAATTGCATGTGTAATCCACTGATCTAAAATATATTGGCTTTCAACATTTTTTGCATTTAATAGATGCGATTTCCGTTTCATTACCTCCTGAAACATTAGAGAAAAATGAGGGATATTTTAATTGCTTAAAACCTTCAACCTGTCACAGATGGAAAGCTCCACCTACGGATGAATACATTCCATTCATTGTATTGTGCCCACAAGTCCCGTAGGAGAATCACAATTCTGCAAAATGCTTTTAGGGCACTGCATTGAGTATTTGGATCTTGGACTGGGAAAATCACTTGTAACCAGAGAGCGCACTGATGAACATGCCCATGAGAGGGCTCATGTGTGGGCTTCCTAAAGTAGTTGAAGTCTGAAACAACTTATACATTCCAGATATGATTGTATGAATTTAATATATAGGATGCCGGAACAATGGGACAAAACTTCCAGTTTGCTGCATTATTGTCCACTCTGGGGGACATAGAATCATTGTGTGCTGTTACATAGGATTTAGTCATTTGGGGAATTATTAGAGAAAATTTCATGAAGGAACAGTCTCCAAGACGTGTATTTCATATTTGTATTTTGCTTATATTTGTATTACCTGCAAGTTGTTGTCAGGTATAGCTGCAATTTGGGAGCCTAATTCCAGAACCACATAGGGACAGGTTCATTATGGTTTACAGACCACAGCCGTGGAATGACATCTGAACTTTACTACCCACATTACTGATAGCTGCATATACTCTCTAGCTATCCTGGCAGTCGCCTGGTTTACTAGGCCAGTTTTCCTGTCTACTGGTATGCCCTTGTGACACACTCCTTCCCTTTTGATCAGATACAGATTCTGTGCTTACTTCTGAAGAATGTTACAGTCTAAGGCATGCATGTTTTTCCTTATTATTTTATCACATTCTGGAGGCTTGTGATACCTTTTTTTGTGTGTGTGGAAATTGCTTCTTTAGTTTTTATTTCACTTTCAGGTGTAGGTTTTCCTGTTAGTATTGCTTAATGGTACAACCAACCAAGGTTTATCTACCTCTTGAAAAACAAGTTCTTCTGTAACTTCTAATTGTGGCAGAAACCTATCTTTTTCAGTCACAGTAATATCCTCAGAACCTTAATGTTCATCAGTCACTGAGTTTATAGCTAGCTGTGTCTTGTCTTGGGTAAGGTTTAACATTTTTTAAGGCAGGGACTTTTACAGCCCCAAAATAAAATCTTGTTCCTCCTTGAATCCCTAGCACTGCTGTAATGCAAATATTACGGCAGTGTGGATCATTCTATGGAACAGAAGTTACTCAGTGGAAAGTCTCGCAGGCCTTAACTTAGCAAAACTTCTGTAAAGTTCATATTACTGATCTATAGAGTTTATAGCAAAGGTGTTGAAATCACTTACGCTTTTGGTGACTCATTTCCCCCATGGGACCGCTGATGACCTCAGAAATACCCTCACAGAAGTTCAGGGCACATAGTTGCCATCTGCAATATAAAGAACATATTGAACTCTTGGCCCTAGTTCACCTGAAAATTTTTGCTTAATATACCTTACTGCACTGCAAAAACAAGTCTATTTCAAATGCCATTTTCTTTTATAATGTGTTCCAACTCAGATGCTAAGCGAGTATGGTATTTACAAAACATCTGTATCACCGTGAATTTATCTCGCCAAGAGAAGTTAAATGGTTACATATTAAAAAAGATTTTATAAGCATGATATGGCACAGTAAACATTAGTAAAAGCTGTTCTAAAACTATTTCTGTCTTCTCTTGAGAAACAAATTATTGAAGCTTGAAGGGGAAGACTGCTTAGTAAAAGGAAGGAGAATTAAACGTACTGAAGTTTTAAAGGAACTCATAATTGCTGATTAAGTTCTTTCTGAAGAAAAACAACTAATGTTTTCTTCTTTTTTGAATCTTATATCAGGCCCAACTGCCAGTAAATGATTTTCTTTACTGTGGGAAGAGGTTTATTTTTAGACATAAGTACAGCATAAAGACAGCAGACTGAAAGTCAAGGCGTCTGCATGCTAAACAAACCACCACGCACTCGGCCTCTTGGTGTCAGCTCATTCATCTCACCGTGGCTCAACTTAACGTTCTGTTAGAAACAACTTTAACCACCTGACAAGCCTATCTGAGTCCTTCTTATCTTCCTGAAAGCATCTTTCAGTTTTTAGCTTCACGCCTTACAGCTTTAGTGGGATTGAATTCTGCAGCACATTGAGACTCAGAGTGGAGCTGGAATTTCATCTTCTTGTCTATAAGTTTCTCTGTCAATCCGAACTCAGGACTGCAACTATTATTATTCCCTTTTGAAGGCAATTGAGTGGCGAGCACTATAACAACAGTGCACTTTTAAAGCAAAACTATCAATCTCAGTGTGTAAAAGATAAAAACTAATTTGTCTTATCAAATGTTTGACATCACCAGATGGCCACCTGATAACAAGCTAATAAAATAGTTACATTTTTTAGATGCCTGCTGGTCTATTTATACAATTCTTCTATTTAAGTTGTCACTCAGTTGCTTTATTATAAATTGAGACATCCAGGAGATTTGCTTTTTGAAAGAATGATTTTCTTAGCTCTTGAAGGTATTTGTTTCCACCAGCGCTGTTTGCTGAGCTATAGTTTGTGCTGAGCTAATACTTTTCCCTTTCATTACCATATTGTTGAATCAATGAATCAACAGAGAAAATAATTCTAATATAGTCAGTGTAAAGTGTTCATTGCATTATTAAAGAACAGAATATTATCTAGCTTTCAGAAGTGTTGAAAGACTATATTGGTTAATGCTTGAGAAATTCTCTGAGATCCATACACAATCTTTGGTAAACATGCTGTTTCGTTTAAACTAATGGCAACTCTGCTCTAAACACAGATTGCACGCAGTTCTTCAGCACAGAGTTGTACTTTGCTCATATCAGCTGACCAATTAAAAAATCGTTTTTTTCACTTCTCATCCAGGAGAATTAACACAAGTCCAGTGAGTGAACTGCTGACTACCGTCCACCTCCTGAAACTTCAAAAAGAAATGTTTGTTGAGTTTCAATCAATTTTTTCTACACAAAGATCTTGTAATTGACAGGCAGGACACTGAGGCTGTTGTTTGCTGATATGGGGCATAATGTGAATTAATTTGAGGGCCTAATTTGACCTCTAGTATTCTATACTTTTGAACATATGCAGGAATTCTGATAAGAATCTTGTGTTCCAGAAACCAGGCTAAATTTTCCAGGCTTGTATAATTGGCAAAAAAATATTTCTGCAGTGTCCCTAATCCTATCAATAGTTGGTGCGTTTTCATATGCACATAATTCTATGTGCCTGTTGTCACCAAACATATGACATGACAAAGCTGTGTGTTTGTGTCAGCCCTTTCACATTTTTTCCTTGCTACAAAAATCATACAAATACTTACGGATTCTTGCATAAATCTGAAGACTTGATAGTGCTGGATGCTACATATATTAATGGAAAGACTATCCAATGACAGCCTGATGTCAGCAATGTGTATTAATGGAAAGTCTTGGGACTACAAACTATTAACTCAACTCATTGCAAGACTGTAGCGTGATTGCATCAATTCTTGCAATGGCTGTGTGAATCCCTTGAGTCAACATTGTCTGATTAAAAAATGACTTGTGGTTGGATTTGAATACTTGGAATAAATAAAACAGCAACTGACTATTGTGCAAGGCCTATATACCTTCCCCATGGACTTTCACAAAGATGCCACATTTCTGACACCTTTCCAGCAGGCTTAGAGACTCCATGGTCTAAGCAAGACAAGATGCTAGACTGCACATTTGAATACTGGGTCCTATTCCACACTCTGACATGCAGTTGGGAAATAACACCTCGGTCATTCACTGTCCTTATTTGCAAAACAGAACAAAGGAACTTACATACTTACTTTAATGTTAACAGAGAACTGTTATTTAAGACAGTTAATTTCTCATAATTCCTTTAAAGATCATTCTAAAATGATTATGTATTCATAGAAATAGTAGTATCTATCTAAATGCAAATTTACTCCTTCATCCCATTAAGTATCTATAATGCATATTTAAAATCTCCATCAACCTTCTTACTCTGTAAGGAATATTCTGGTCTCCTAGGGAGGCAGTAGGAATTTGAGAATGCTTTCTAAAACACACTCAGGGTCTGTGTGCAAGCGGTAGCAAATTGAAAAGATCTCAAAAATATGGATTAAAGAAAAACTGATGGTGAGGAGAGAATTTAACTGTTCATTCACCCCTATAGCTCTGAACCAGCAGCAATGGCAGAAGTCCAGGTTCTGAAACAGAAAAGTCAACACTGTGACACCTGATAAAATGGGGATCTGGCATTTGTTCATATCGCATCAATTCTAGAGAGTCTGAGTGCCATCCATTATTTACTTCAGTGCAGAATTACTGTACCAATAAAACAGGGCAAATATTGATACAAAATGAATTCCTTGCTTCTGCCTTCAACTCTTTCTAACAAGACTCAAATGACACTGAATCAGAAAAGAGGGGAGAAATAAAATCTCTCATCCTCTTTTAATAAAAATCTTCCCGTATAAATACCCCCAGGCCAGAAAAATCACATTGCAATTGCTAAACTGTAACAGATCCCATTTCATTCTAATCTAATATTTTGTGTTCAGATGAGATCTTTCCTCCTGCTTCAAAGGAAGGCATAAAAAAATAATGTGAATTGTTGCATTTGTGAAAAATAAGTAAATGTGTGGCATATTCACTTAAGATCTCAACTTCATGGATTTGAAGTAATTCTCAAGAGATAATCTCTTTCTCAGAATACAACTGAAATAGCTGTGGTATATCAAGTTTCAGAGGAAAGAAACCCTCCCCTTGATACCAGCTCTGAAGCCACAGACACAGCAGTACAATGGTTCCTGTACTGATGATGGCATAAAGTAAGATGGTTTCTGAATCTGTGATTCTAGACCACCAGTGCCAGCTGTGCTTCTCTGCTACTCACACACATGCAATCTTCTCAGAGATGTGCAAAATAGCCACATGCATGACAACTACTGAAAAGCTAGACATTATTTAGGCTATTTCTATCTATCATTTTTTTGAATAGGAGGCTTAGGATTATGAAGGACCTGGAGTTCATCACGGTAACTTCGATTTCTGCCTAGAATATCCATATAGATGATCTCACCAGTGGTTCTTCCATGTATCAGAATTTCAAGGCAAACTCAACTGTTTAGTCTCTCCTACTTTGCTGGAAAGTTAAATAAGGTCAATGTATAAAATAACTTCAATGTATGCACTGCCTATGACGTACTAACTTCTATATACACCACAGCATATCTACATTTAAGCTGCTAACTGCTAGTAAGAAAACAGCTAAGAGGTGTGCTTTATTAACATTTCTGTGAAGCAGCACGTACTCGAAATTAGCAGATTCTATCAGTGAAGAAAAAAAGGTAGTGGATATAATCTTATTTTATAAGAAAAACTGGAGTCTGCTGCATCTTATCATTGTACAGCCAAAACAAAAAGGAGATACCAGAGTACTAGCTTTCGTTAGAGATACATCACTGCTATCTGTCTAGTGCCATTGAATGAAAGGATCCAATGTCATTTGAGTCTGACTGTGGTACATATTATTTTGGTGACATTATCAGAATGTGTAACTGTGGAAGCCAAGGGGAGTGATAATTTACTACTCATTTGCAACCAATTTAGGGAAAAGAATTTTCAGTAGCAGTCAGTTTATACTGAAAATTAAGCCTTCTAGGAACAGGGTAAACTTGAGTTCATCAACCATAATGACAAGTAAAGTCAGGGACAGTAGAAAGAATATTTTAAAACTGCTTAGGAACTGTGTTAATAGCTTTAATTCTACAAGTTTTCTTTCACAAGAGTGGCCAGAAAGGGGTGAAATGGATTGTTCGCTAACACAAAATTGCTTTCTACAGTAAAACTGCCAGCATTTTGTTGAATCAATCTGCAGGTCACTACTGATCAGTAATATTAAGTATGTTCTCAACCTAAACCTTCTGCTGATCCTAAAGTAGATACTTCTATATGGTTTCTAATGTCTGTTAAAGTTGAGAAAATCATACTGAGCTTTGGATTTTAAAGCAAACCCCTCCAAGTTGTCTCCTACTCTGCTTTTGCTCAATAGTTTTAAACTTCCTTCAATGCTAGAAAGTGCACAGCAGCAAATTCTTATTTCTTTGATTCTAATTGTTGAACTGGTCATGAAGCAAGAACCTGTTAAATAATTCCTAGAACACCTCCTATCATAAAGAAACAATCAGCAATTTAGATTTTTACATTTTGTTCCCTTCTTTCCTGCAATAATATAACCATGCCAGCCAGTCCCAACTATGCTGTGTGTTGTCTAAGCTTGCAGCCTTTGGTCTCCTTTACCCTCACTGGCTCAGAGATGTTGATTCACTCTTCACATCGCTGCCAAAAAGGGGAGAATTTTCAGAGAGAAGAGAGACAAAAGTCA